TGGTCGGAGTCAAGTGGTCATTGACGTAGAAGCTGGCAGTCGTTGAGAATCCTATGTTGGAAATATTGAGCAATTTACTTTTACGCGCCGAAGCCACAAATTCCTCCTTGGTATAGCGACTGTTAAAAGCGACTACAATCGGCTTATATACATTTGGGATGCGAGTCGGTATACGTGCAATGTAATTAATGTCTTCTTTTCGTACAGAGATGTTGCAAAGGTTTCCAATTTTCTGTGCTATATCGTACAGATTCTCATCTTTCTTCTGCGGTATACCTATGATCTCGACATTATTAGCTCTAGCCCATTGGTCTCTGTCTCGCGATTCACTGTTTAATTTATCAATATTATCCTGGAGGATTGGTATTTGTTCAGCCATCTTCTCCATCGCGATAACCTTTGACTCAAGAGATTTTACCTTTGTGGAGAAACCGTTTATGATGTCATGTGCCATTTCAATGGAGTCCTTGAGTCCGGACAACTCCAGTTTGATGGATTTCACGTCAGCAACCAACGCAGCCAATGGAGCCAAATCAAGGGCAATCTTGATAAGCTGCTCCTGCATTTTGTCGAGCTGGCTAGGCTGGGGCGATACAGCCAGTTGAGAAGGAGATGAGCCGGACTTACATTTTGGGCAGCGCCAAGCACTCTTCCTACTGTCGCCGAGTCTCCGGTAACCAACTTCTGTGACTCCTGCACACTGATAGTCATAATGTTGATTGCATCCACCACAGATCGGGCCGTCGGTATGCTCAGAACCACAACTAGCGCAGGTGAACATTATTCAAAAAAGATTGAGTAACACTGGATTTTCTCTTTAAACAAACAAGCGTGCGTTTAAGGCAAGGGCCTGACGGCGAGTGCTGAGTTTTTTTTAAGTATTTTTCGCGTTTAAATTTTGGTTCCTACCATTTAAGATTAAATTGTGTATACTATAGATTATAGGTTGTTAAAGGTACTTTTTCGGTGCACTTTTCAATTCATTTATTTGTCGTGTTTATAAGTCAACGAATAACCAATTTGTGTCTATGTAATAGTTACGCTACTTAGCGATAGATGGCGCTGGCCTTTATCGAAACTTGGTAATGCTGAGTTTTTTTTAGTATTTTTCGCTATTAAATTTTGGTTCCTTCCATTTAAGTTTAAATAGTTTATTTTATAGATTATAGGTTGTTAAAGGTACTTATTCGGTGCACTTTTCGACTCATTTATTGGTCGTGTTTATAAGTCAACGAATAACCAATTTGGGTCTATGTAATAGTTACGCTACTTAGCGATAGATGGCGCTGGCCCTTATCAAAACTTGGTAATGCTGAGTTTTTTTTTAGTATTTTAAGCTTTTAAATTTTGGTTCCTACCATTTAAGATTAAATTGTGTATTTTATAAATTATAGGTTGTTAAAGGTACTTATTCGGTGCACTTTTCGACTCATTTATTTGTCGTGTTTATACGTCAACGAATTACTAATTGGTGTCTATGTAGTAGTCACGCTAATTTAGCGATAGATGGCGCTGGCCTAATGAAAACTTGGTAACGCTGAGTTATTTTAAGTATTTTTCGCGTTTAAATTTTGGTTCCTACCATTTAAGATTAAATTGTGTATTTTATAGATTATAGGTTGTTAAAGGTACAGGCAGTGCTAGCCAAATGCCATTTAGCGCTTGTCTACATGTAGAGTAGAAAACCAAATTATATGGAATTGACGTAAATTTTGACACTTGTCAGTGTCATCCCCATACATTTTGATTTCTACTCTCACTGTAGACAAGCGCTAAAGTGGCTTTTGGCTAGAGGCCCTGTTTCGGTGCCCTTTTCGACTAATTTATTTGTCGTGTTTATAAGTCAACGAATTACTAATTGGTGTCTATGTAGTTGTTACCCTACTTCGCGATAGATGGCGCTGGCCCTATTTAAAACTTGGTGTCGCTTTGTTTTTTTACGTATTTTTCGCGTTTAAATTTTGGTTCTTACCATTTAAGATTAAATTGTGTATAATATAGATTATAGGTTGTTAAAGGTACACGAAATCATAACGTCAATGAATTAACTAAGCATCCAGCACTGTGATTGATATTTTTCGCTCGCTCAATAATAGGCTTGATGAAAATATATAATGAAATAAAACACTTAACTAAAGTGTTTTATTTCTAGGTAGATATTATTATATTATTATCTAAAGTAGTTATTGTTTTTTCGTTTTAAGGCGCTAAAGCTAAAGCTATTTGTTTATTTGCCTGTCTTAAACGGCAAAACGGAGGTACTAATTAACGTGATTTTTTAACTGAAGGTAGTTGAAGGGATTGATAGTGAAATAAGCTACTTTTTATCCTTTTGTGACGCGAGCGAAGCCGCGGGTAAAAGCTAGTAATAGTTATTTTTGCCTATATAGCTGAGCTAGCCTACTCTGTTTGGGCTCGCTGCCATTGCAGCGGTAAGTCCCCTCTTTGAGGAGTGGCTTGAGAGACGCTACGGCGTCCTCACCTACCGCCTGACGCAGGTCCTCACCGGACATGGAAGTTTCGGGAGGTACCTGTGTCTGATAGGGCGGGAGGAAACGCCCGGGTTTCATCACTGCGAGGTCCGCCCTGAGGACACGGTGGAACACACAGTGGGAGAATGCCCTGCGTGGGCTGAGCACCGTCGTGCCCTCAGGGAAGTGATCGGCGATGGCGACCTCTCGCGTCCGGGCCTAGTGCAGGCCATGATGCGGAGCGAGGGGGACTGGGATGCCATCCCGCGATCCTCCTTTTGCGAAGCAGTCATGCTAGCTAAGGAGGAGGCGGAACGCGTAAGGCAGCGAAGCGCTGCCTCCTCGCAACCCAGCCATCGCGAAGGACACACCGGGCGTCGGGGATCGCGGGATGATCTCCGGCCACCGTAAGCGCGGGCCTGCGGACGGCGAGCATGGGTGGCTCCCCGTCCGACCAGAAACAGACCCGAGCGTACGGCGCGTCGCGTTCCGCGCGCGCCTCAAAGAGCCATCAGACCACCACAGATGGGGCCCAATAGGGCCGATGCCGATTCGGAGTCGCGGAGAACCTAACGGGTAACCGGGGCTCCGGCTCGACGTGCAGGAGAAGGAACGGGGTGGTTTTTAGTCAGTAAGAGTCTGACACTCCCTTCCGCCTCACCCAGGCGGGAGCAGTCATTCGATGATTTTCCCCCCTAAAAAAAAAAAAAAAGCCTACTCTGTAAGATATCAATTCTAACTCTCGAAGTCAACTCGATTGCATTCTCGCCCATCATTGGTCGAGATTATTCTCACAACCAATATGGCGGACCGCCATCGAGCTGACTTCGAGAGTTCGAGAAACTGTAAGATGTCTAGCAGGAATCGAACCTGTCTCTAAAGTGCAAAATATTTAAAATCAAACAAAATAATTATACGCAATCATTTATTGTTTCCAAGATACATACGTAGCTACAATCTAAGCTTTACATATTTACGTTAAAAATCCAGAATGGTACAATAGAGCTATGAAGCCAGACAGGCCCATTACCGTCGTCCCTTTTCCGTAAAAGAACGATAATGATTTTAACGATTCTGTAATACCTTTCATAATATTACCAATAAACTAGGGAGAATTATTTTTACGATCATCTGGCAACATTGCGTAAAACGCCTCATTGAATATGATTATAAAAACCTTTTTACGTTTAGTTCACGGTTACACAAGAGAGCACGAAAACCGAGCTATAAAAAAAGTAATCAGATCTTCTTTTTTATGAACTCTAATTTCAAAATCTTATAAAAAGCATTTTAAATTTGTAGACACTTAAAGACTAAATTATATAAAAAAAAGAATTCTCCACTTATTCAAAATTAACCTTAATAGGAAAAATAATAAAATCATTATTAATCACAGACAATTAATAATAAAGAGTTACAACCAAATAGTTTTAAAGTTATTGTTTCCAACTTTACATTCTTGCTGAAAAAATCTAAAGTACTAGCTTAATCTGTAACATATAAAGCTATTGTATATTATAAATGCATAATGTCATATTAATAGATTTCAATAAATGTCCGATTACAATAATCTGAATTATAGAGATGTAAAAATCGTTGCGCAAAAATCTTTCACTGCATCAATTTTGCGCAAACTTTTGCGCATTTCATTTTGCGCTGAGGATATTTTGTCAAATTACTTACTCTTCTATGTTTTAAGAATAATGTGTTTATGTTGACTGTTAACTAAACATATCTTTAAAACCATAAATGGTAAGTTGAAGAAATCGTATTATAAGTAAAGTAATTTTAAATCGAGCCCGTCTTAACAAAGTACGTACATGGAATGGTACAAAAAAATCTCAATAGCTTTTCTAATTGTTTAGAAAACAGAAAAATAAGACTAAACAAGGCCTCATAGGCCTGTATATACTTACTACTAAGTCCCGAAATATGCTTTAGGCCTGACATCTAGAGTGTCCCGTAAACAATATAAAAAAACTTCCGATTTGTGACAATATTTCATGCTTACACTATTGTGTTAGTTTTGTTTTCTAATTTTTTTTAATTTATATGTCAATACCCAAATTATTTAGAAGAGTATCATTTTAAAAATGTAACTGCCTTACTCAGAGAAGTTTAATTATTACTAAAACTGTTCTCTAGTAACCTTATTGTTTCGAAAACCTTTTGCTAAGGAATGACTTAAATACATATATACTTCCTAATATTACAGGGAGAAAACATTCGTAGTTTAGTATATACTTTCGTAATGATTTCACATAAAAATTCGACCGATTAAAAAAATCCTTCACCACTAAAAAACTGTTCTTTAAAATCTTTATTAAATAATATAGACTATATAATCTTTCAAAAACTGCCTAAGTCGTTAACCCACACAGATGGAGTGTTAAAATGAGCTAGTAACCAATAAACGACTCTGAGTAGGGTTGTGAGAGGTCCTAGAATAAAAAAAGAGAAAAAAAATAAAAATAAACCTATATATTTCTTTAGTAGGACACAGCAGTTTCTTCGATACCGCAGGACGAATTATATCTTTTTCCTTCTCTTTTCCGGAGTGGTTTGGAAGAGAGCTTCGTCGGCTCGGATCAGTCGGTTCACGGCGCGACTCAACGACACATCTGTCACCAGAAACAAACATCAACTCATTTAGTCGATTTTCTATTTAGTAACTTTTCTTATAGACGAGTATGGCAATACTGTTCAATAATGTCAACTTTGACAGTTATTTTGGGGGGAAAGAGTACGAAGTATAATTTTGTATTGTGTATCGCTGTTCAGTAGGACAATTTGTTGGACAGTAACTAAATAGATTTATAGGTTTAAACAGTAAAATAATTGTTTTCGTCAATAATCACATCAACAATAATGAAAGTTTATCTATTGTACAAGTTTTTCGTTACAAAATAATTAAATATTTACATCACACAGTATTGCCATATTCCAGTTAACATAATAATGGTAAGCAGATTGTGTCAATTGAATCACCCATTGGAAGACAAGTTAAGGTTAGTGATTAAGGTTAAAAATGAAACAAAAGTGAAAAAATTTTGGAAAATTCCTGTTTAATGTGATAGAATTTTAACAGTCCACTTACTTTCTTAACGAATTACATGAACATGTAAAAAATGCATGAAAAAAGACATCGTACAAATAAATAATATTCAATTAAATATTTGTTTAGTTTTTGGCAGTGACTGAACTTTGTCGTACGATATTTTTCCATGCACGTTTTACTTAAAATCTTAACTACTATATTGCATCTATTATGAAATTGTACTCATGAAAGGCATCAATACGTTTTCAATTATTATTATTATTTTAATTTAAACAATGTTATAAATTGTAAAATACTTCGAGATAAAACTCACCGCGACTTATTGTGTATTGACATTTTGACTGCTTGAAAGTCAGTTGCCAGTCTTAAGAATGAAATGTTTAGACTTTGTTTATTTACATCGATATAAAACTGATCTACGCATTTCCTTTAATGAGAACATAAGAGCTATTATTCGTTGGGATCTGTCAATGGATAATGAACCTCATTTCAAGCAGTCAAAGAGTCAAAATTTAAATACCTCAGTCCATAATTGTAATACTTATAATTAATTAAATATTTAAAAACTGATTTGACTGTAACTTGCAAACAAAGTTAGCCTCGAACACGCTACTATTATAAATTATTCAATTCAATTGTATGTCTAATATTATTTATTTATTATTTCAAAAATGTTCAAAATAAAATGTGATATTGTCATATTATTATAATAATTAATTATAAAACTGTTTATAAAATGTGGTTATTAACTACTTAAAAGCTGCCAAAACAATAGCTAATTCATTCTGCATCTTATGCGATTATTCGACTTAAATAATCGACTATCAACTTTTAACATGACAACACCACATTATTATTGACATAACTGGCAACACTGAATAGAATTTCCTAAGGAAGAAACGTGTGATTATTTCTCTTGTTTTTATTATTAATTTGACTATGGAGGCAGTTCTGTTTACTAGGACCTTATAACTATAGAATGGTCATAGGTTTAAGTGATTTTAATCTGCTCAAGATTATGGGCCTCTGGTGGCTTGAAATCAGTCGAGCACATTCCTCAAATTTGTTACATGAGTAATGTAGTAATTACTTATAATTAATTGTTGTACTTATAATTTCTAAGACAAAATCACTCAAATCTATAAACACATTAAACAAATGGTAGATTTTTCCATCAATTAATTCTTACATAATTCCAGCTAAAAAAAGTACAAATATTGAGCTTGAAATGTGAAAAAATCTACAATTTGATGTATTTTAAATAACGATAATATTAAGTACTGTACGCAAAAATATTAATTAAAAAAATGATAAACTTTGACTAACAGATCATATTAATAAAATGATTAATAAAAATGTGTATAATTGTATAGTTAATTCATCCTAATTATACTAAGTAACGCGATAAAAATTAAGTTGGTGTATTAAAATGTACTTGTTTTTTTTTTATTTTGTGTTGATGAATGTTTTAAAAAAGTGTTGACATGTCAGAGGCCTTAGTACCAGTACTGATGTACGTTTAAAGTATTCGACACGTTTACGCGTTCGGCACTCTGATTGGCCGGCGCCAATTAAGCAACCAATCAGAGCGCCGAACGCGTACTCGTTACGATTGAACGATCAAAAATGTTATCCCAGTTCCCACCCACTGCAACTCACTAGTTTTTGTACATATTATGTAAACGACTATTAAAGAAGGTTCCAACAGAAATTGAACATATTTACAATTAACAGTGTAATGCCGGAATACTGAAACGTTGCTTAATTTTAAGTCGTGCTCAAATATCGTGCCATCTCAGTCATTTTACAAAGAATTTGTAGAGATAGAACTATACTGAAGCACGACTTAAAATTGAGTAGCGTTTCAGTATTCCGACATAAGTCATACTTGACTCTTCGATCAAAGAAGATTGAATGATTGCATCAAATTGGGTACTTGCCAACTAGTCAAATTCAATACTTTTTTTCCAACGTCATTAACGACAGTTTTCTATGAATTTTGTACGAGATTGTGTATTGTGACGTCACGTATTTTTAGTGCTGGAAAAATACTAAAATTAAGTTGGTCATCGAATCAATTAATGAAAGTGTGATTTTTTTTAATATTTCATTGTATTGAACAATCGAAATAGATTATTTCTGATTAAGGAAAGTACGCAATTGGATTATTACTTTGTTGACGTGTTCGTCATCGTTAAGACAAAGTTTGTATGAAATAAAGATTCGATACATTTATCGGGAAGATCTGAAAATAGCACCTAGGCGAAACTGGAGCGGGCAACTAGTTTTTAACCCCTCGAGCGTCCTTATGAGCACCCGGTGGATCATAAGAAAAAATGCTCCAAATGTCACGTGTGCACCCGTTGGATCATAAGGAACGCGGACGCTCGACGGGTTAATATATTAGGTACACCATCTGACAAAACTGCTCAACATTTTTTAAAACATTAATTTATAAGTACTGAATTTGAATTATGTAAGTGTGTGTGTGTCGTCTATCTACTCGTATAATCATTCATTTGTTATATTCTTATCAGCTTTAGAACCCAACCCGTTATTCCTAATCGAAAACAAACGACAAATAACCTCTTTTTACCTTAATAAACATTTATAAGTTCTAAGACCTCTGGAATAAGGTTCAAATTGTTATATAGAGGGGGGAGAATACTTTGTTCTCATATTACATTTAGAACTTTTATTTCTATATTATATCAATAACTTAATATCAAAGACTTCAGCGTCAAATATTCGATATCTATTCATACCTATACATATCAGTATACTGTGTGTGACGTCCATCAAGTTTTCTTCCTTCCTTTTTCAAACATACTTCTCCTTATGAAAATGGTATCTATGTGTGAAACTGGCGTTACCGTTAATTTTATTCTCGCACTTTCTATTTTATAATTGGTTTATTTATCATTTGCATTAAAACCTCACATAACATAACATCACGCCTTTTATCCACAAAGGGGTAGGCAGAGGTGCACATTACTGCACTTATGCCACTGTACAATGTAACACCCACTTTCGACTATTTATGTTATGAGTCCCATGTAATAGGGGGTAAGCCTTTTGCCATATACTGGGGACAATTCCAGACTCAGTGCCACTACTAAGATTTTTAAAAAACCCAGTAATACTTTGCCCGTCCCGGAACTCAAACCCGAGACCCCTTGCCGCCGTTGCACTTGCAACCATTAGGCCAATGAGGCAGGCATTAAAACAATTTACGTTAATTTATCGTTTGTTTATTTAATGGCGTTAATCTCTGGAACTATTGATCCAAATTTAATCATTGTTTTTGTGTTGGATAGACTAATTACTGAAAATGGCTATATGCCATAAACCATCACACTACGGCCTATAGGAGCCGAGTAACTGCGCGGGGGTAGGTAGTTTCATAACAAAAACTGCTTCCTTCATTAGGGCCTATAATACCAGACGTATACAGATGCTTTATATTAGTTTATATCATATCTTTATAATCACTAACATCCTCTATTTGAGTCCGGTATAAAAACGACCATTTAATTATAACCGATCTGAATCTGACATCTTTCGATTAGGATTGATAATAAAGATATTTGAATTTGATGAAGCGTGTCTTCACATTGTTCTCACATATGTGTACAATATTGGAATATGTATCAGAGACATTATAAAACAGAGTTTTTTTAAAGAGTAACCAATGGAGTTTCTTTCTCGTTCTTCTCCTTTGAATCTACGAGCGCCTAGCTTCACTGACTGACAGACTATTATTTATTTTATATTTGTTGACGTTTCAAAAGTACCAAATTATGGTTTAATTGAAATAAATGCTTTTGAGTTTGAATTTTGACATTAATCGTATAGAGTTATTGTCAAGAACCCTGCAGCTGTACCCAAATGCCATTTAGCGCTTGTCTACATGTAGAATAGAAAACCAAACTATATGGAATTGACGTAAATATGTCACTTGACACTAGTCAGTGTCATCCCCATACATTTAGTTTTCTACACTCTCGGTAGACAAGCGCTAAAGTGGCGTTTGGCTAAAGGCACAGATCAGCGGAGAATATAGTTTCTTAATTTCGGCAACTAGTACTTCTAAAGGTGTTGCTGTATCCAACTTGTGTCTGTATGTACGTGATGTATGTTTTAGTGTATAGTTTATATGTAGGTAGGTGTATGAATTAACTAAAAAATAACGATTTACTCAGGGTGCTCACTCTTGAAATCAATCTCAATGTCAATGCAATTTCAATCCAATAAAATTTCAATAATTATTCAATGTCAAAACTATACAACCCCTATCGTAGCTGTTGAAATAGCATTCAGAGTACGGAATATAAGGCCAAACTCAATACCATTTAGTTCATTCAATATCCACGCAATACGGATGCAATGGGCGCTAGTATTGCTACTCGAGAGTACGAAATTTCACAATACCAATGTCGATCGATCGGAATTGGATTCAAGAGTAAGTACCCAGGTAAACATACGTCGTCACTGTGCTTATAAGTCCCTCTGTGACTCGAAACTAGCTTACGTCAGAGTGCCAAGCACAGAGGCATTAGTACGAGTTTCTTTTACGTTAAAAGTAATCGTAACGAGTGCACGTTCGGCGCTGTGATTGGCCGGCTCCAATGGACCAACCAATCAGAGCGCCGGACGAGGTTTCGTTTCGATTACTTTAAACTTATAACAAATTCGTACTAAGGCCTCAGATAACTATCTCGCATTCGTAACGTAATAGTATCGAGCGCGTTCGGCCTCCTGATTGGCCGGCTCAAGTGAACCAACCAATCAGAACGCTTAACTCGCTCGATACTGTTACGATACGAATGCGATAGTTATTCGTGCTTGGCCCTCTGATTGGCCGTCTCCAGTGAACCAACCAACCCGAACGACGAACGCGCTCGATACTCAGTACATATTTACGTGCGTAAACCATTATTTCTTTAGTTATAGTTCTTTTCTCACGAGCGCTGGTGAGCCATAGTTGTAGTTCGTATAGACCTTCAAGAAAAAAGCGTATTCCTTTTTAAAAGGCTCGCAACGCACCTGTGACTCCTCTGGCGTTGCGAGTGTCCATGGACGGCGCTGATCGCTTACCATCAGGTTATCCTCCTATTCCATAAAAAAAAGACACGCGCGCTTGTGTAACTCGCAACTCATGCATTCTCATGCCGACCAAAACTGGGCGTTCCCGAGCGTACGCAAACAAAGACAATGTGCGTACATTTACCCACACAAGTATGGCGCACCCGCACTCAAGAGATAGAACATCTATAACTTAGTATGTCTCACTATAGTAAGTATAAAAATGTATGTATGTGATGTATATATTTATATTATCAATGTACGATGGAAGTATGTATGTGATGTCTACCAACCGGGCGTAGTGTTGGCGAGTCGTCGCATGCGTCTAGTGTTGCGGTCCTGGTCGCGGATCTTCTTCTCCATCTCCGCGTTAGTGAGGGTCTCGAGGTGGGGCGCCCATTGTTCTGCTTCCGATGGCTGGCGGTACGGGGTCTGGAATTAAATTGTTATGTTTTAAAATGGAACTTAAGGAGCTTTTTAATTATTATTATTATCTTTATTAATTTAGTATCTTTTGGTCATACAAAGACCATGCCAGACCCATCATTCCCTAAAAATATTTATAAAACTTTCAATAACTTAAATACTACTCTCATTTACTACCAGTGACCCGCCCCGGCTTCGCACGGGTGCAATATGCATGTATCATACATATAAACCTTCCTTAAGAATAACTCTTTCTATTAAAAAAACCGCATATCCGTTGCGTAGTTTTAAAGATCTAAGCATACATAGGGACAGACAGACGGCGGATAGCGACTTTGTTTTATACTACGTAGTGATTTTATATATCAAGGTATCTGCTTTGGATAAAAGTTGTGACAATATACTGTGAAAAATACCAATATCTAATATTTAATAAAGTAAACCATTACACAGTGTAAATAGAAAACACCAAAAGCATAAAAAAACAATGGAACAGTATTAAGTGACGTTTTTTAATCCCTTATGAGGTCAGTAAAACTTATTTTCGGCGTTCAAAACAATAAATTATTAATAATACAAAATTAATCTGTCAAACACCAAGCGGTCACCGGTGACCGCGACCTATTGTTCTTTAATTGTGTCTATAAAACCGGTACTCGACGAGTTAAACTTCTCAAATACCAACCTCTACAACGGGCAGTGGTGCCTCACTGAATGCATACGTCCGTTGATGCCAGCTGAGTTGTCCGCGGACACTGTATGCTATCCCGGTCACAAACTCTCCGCCCAGACCTAGCTCAGCACACAGCTTCATTGCAAATTGTTCCGGATTGTTCTCCTTCTCTGACATGTCCCATTCCACCTGTAATTTCCAAATATAAACAAATATTAAATGATTTTTTTTTATTTTTAAAAAAAAAAAACGTTGCTCCACACTAGGATTTTCTCCTGTGTCGTGGGTGCGTTTACAAACATACAAGTTCACGTACACATGACACCCAGACACGGAACAACAATTTGTAGATCACACAAAGTGCTGTTCCGTGCGGGAATCGAACCCGCGACACGTTGTGCGGCAGTCAGTTGCTCAGCCACCGAGTCGCGGAGAACCTAACGGGTAACCGGGGCTCCGGCTCGACGTGCAGGAGAAGGAACGGGGTGGTTTTTAGTCAGTAAGAGTCTGACACTCCCTCCCACCTCACCTAGGCGGGAACAGTCATTAGATGATTTTCAAACCTTAAAAAAAAAAGCCTCCGCGCCAACCGTCATATTCATATTTATTATTACCTATTAAATAACTGTTTTGTTAGTTTAGTCAGTTAAACTGTTAACATTTCCACGATCCTAGCATTCCATAAAATAAACTGGACTTTTCTGTTTATCTTAGAGTTGCTTCCCGAACAAAACATTCAGATTTTCTACTACAGCCAAGTAAAAGTAGGTGCTGTAAATTTTTGTAGACAGTACATCTTGTTCATAATGTTTTTAAAAATCACTGAACGTAACCAAACACTTCTAGAAGTGAGAAAATATTATAACACAAAAGAATGTTCTTTTTTGGAAAAAATATAGAACCATAGAATATTTTATTTTTATAAAATTCAATGATAATACTAACTTGATCAACAAGCGAAGTGTTCCCAACATGTATGTTCAGTTTGATCACAACTCTCTGGTCCGGCTGTTCCTCCAAGATGGCTGGCGGGTCACTGGGGAACGCATCTATCTGCTGCCTGATAGACGAAGCAATAGCTGGGATGAAGGTACTGGTGTTCAGTTCTAAGTCATCACATAGCACCTCCGCAAACTGCTCGGGAGTTATTATTGATTCTGTAATGTAAAGAATTATTTTTAACAATGTTTTTATAAGTTCAAGTACATGATATATTAGTATGTTTTTTACTACATTATCTAATTATAAAACATTATCTAATCCTTACTAATATTATAAATCGGAAAGTGAGTTTGTTTGTTTGTTCCACTTTGCAGACGTGAAGTTAGAAGTCTGGATTAAATAATAGGGTACTTTTTATCCCGGAAAAATTTGATATTCTCGAGGGAAAACGAAATTATTGGTATAGATGGCGCTGTGTGTATTGGTATATATCACATAGGCTACTTTTTATCCTTTTGTGATGCGAGCGAAGCCGCGGGTAAAAGCTAGTGATTTATATTTGACTGCAAAACTCATTTTAATTTCATCAAGAAAAGTAATAACTACAAATTATTAATTGCTTTCTGAATGTAATGGTGGTTAATATGTGTTAAGGTTCATTCAGATATATCTGAATAACTTAGTATTAAACTTAAATAGAGAAAAATGTTTACAAAATAATTTTAACTGCAATAATTTCATCTCAAATAAGGGAGTAAATAAGTTTAGCTGTACTTACCATTTTTATTCCAAGTGAATGTGTCTCTCAATTTCTGTCCTTCAATTTCCATGTCCAATCTGATGGGCACCAGTATCTGCTTCTGAGAGGAGTTCTCCAGCATTGCTGTCATGTCCGTGTCATCAAAACATAGCGGGAATGTACGCACCTAAAAGGAGAAAACATTGATAAATAACAAGAGGCCTAGTAGATAAATGAAACCTTGTCTGCCTGCCTGCGGGAATTAAAGTGTGAATCTATGTTATAGACTAGCTACTTCCGCGTGGTTTCATCAGCTCTGCTCAGCTCCCATCAGTCGTAGCGTGATAGTTTATAGACTATAGCCTTCCTCGATAAATGGATTATCTAACACAAAATAATGTGTTCAAATCGGACCAAAAGTTCCTGAGATTAGTGCATTCAAACAAACAAAGAATTTCTTCAGTTTTATATAATATAAGTATAATATAAGTTTAAACTATTGCTAACAGCATTATAATGAAGTACTTTAGAGCCCAACAAAACATACCTTCTTATTATGCACCCTAGTTCGGCTAATCTGAGTGGCTTGCGGTACTGCATCCAGATGCGAAGAGTTTGGCATAACAGGCAACCATGACTGGTTGTGTGGTTTCTTGCTCTTGCTCTCCCTTGGCGTTGCCAGTTCTTGGCTCACTGACACTGCCTTATACCTGGGAGATCAAAGTAAGATTAAAAAAGGTTAAAATGGGAGGGAAGTGTTAGTGGTGATATGTATAGAGTAACCAGCTTATTATATAGTAATTAATAAAGGACTTTAGTCATCTAAGTATTCCAAGTTCTTTCTTCAGAATCAAATATGATCTTCGGCGTTCAAGAATGTGGCTAAGCTTAGTTCTTCAATGTTTGTATTACTTGCTTTATTGAACAATAAGAATAAATAAAGAACTAATTCAGTTAATTCTTAACTGTAGAATAAAATTGACATTTGACGGTTTTTATTATGAAAGAATTGTAAAATATTCAAAGATATCTGGTGTTGGAAAAATCGGCCCTTAGTCTAAGGAGACTTCGACGGTTTTTGTTTTTTGAAATGTATACCCTTTTCTTTCTAATGGGATAATAACATAACAATGTTGTAAAGAAAACTGGTTACTATATTCATGAAATTGGTCAGTGTATTATGATTGTTCAGTTAATGTGAAGTGTTTGTAAGGCCACTACCATGGTGTTAACTTAAAAATTAAAAGTGGTAATAACCGAAAACCAAATAAGTCAAATAACATAACATCTAAAGATGTATTAAATGAAAATCCACAACCTTGATGGAAGCATGGGGTCTAAAATTATAAAGAAATTAAAATAATTGCAGTACTACATAATCTTCCTCTAATAGACCCAATCCGTGAAATTTATACCAGGGTTAAGCCACTCCCAAATTAAAAGCGACATAAAAGTCTTGAAAATAAAATTGCTACGCAAATGATCATGATGATGATGATGACAAAGATTGCTGATGATCCTCAACACTTACCAAAATGTTGATTTACAGATCATCATGTCATTACATACCTAAATTGGGGAAAATTATCATAAAACGTACACATACTTATCATCATTGCCCTCAATAATATCTTCCACCTCGGAAGCTTTGAGGAGTGATACCGAGCTGGAGAGTACATGAGCTCCTAGGCCGTTGTCAATGAGACGTTTCCTTTCATCATTGGTCAAGGTACGGCGTGCCATACCAGGGTACTTCTTGTATAGAGACCCGCGGAATAACCGCAGGTAGTTGCCGACCTGAAAAAGGATGGAACTTTCTATACTTTCGATAGTTTATAAATACTTTTGTGTAGTTTTTCATAGTTAGATCAGTGGGTATCGCGGGCGTAGTTATGTATGTCTATAAACTAAATTAACCGAGTACGACACGCCATAACAAATTGATCAGTTAGGTGGCGTTATTTATCTGGAGTTATCAATGAAAGCCATATCCTATTAAAGCAGGTTGATAGGGTTTGTCTCTTATTTCATATAGTTCGCAATAATGTAATTAAAATCTAGCTGAAATCATCAAATATAAACAAAATGAACGCCACCAACCTCCGAGCCGACACAATAAAATTCTCCTCCCTCTTCTATTTGAAAGCTTATCGGCTTATCACCGTAAGTTCGCAACGCCATTTTTAAGCCTTTTGTTAGCTTCCAACTAAAAATAAACTAAAATAATATAGAAAATTTTCACTAAAACGCTAAAATCATTGAATACGACATCGACAAGATGAGATGAATGACATCAAGTTGCGAATGATGAATGAATGAATGAAATGAATGAATGACATGACATCCTCTACAAAGATGTCAAAAACTTGTCGCGTCTACCCCGTCTACCATAGATTATGGTCAAAATGTGGTCATAATAAAAAAAATCGTAAGCTCGATTCGACTGAACGTAAATAGAGTCGTGAAATGAATTATATTACACTCCAAAGGATATATTGAAATTATAACCTGTATGACGTTAAGAATATTAATTAGTAAAATATTAAATTTTGTTAATAAATCTAAAATAAACTCTCACTTGTATCGCCTGTATCCTTCCCTGTAACCTCTACTGTATTGTATGTCCGCTCATTCGTATAACTACCTAGATACTAAAAAAAGCCATCTACGCATATTCTTCTTAATTTTAATTTTTTAATTACTGCAGATTGTGTAAAAGCTATTTTATATTGGTAATTTTGATTAACACTTGCAACACTGTAGTGGAAATTACCTCGAAAATCCAAAACATTCCATTTTCCCATTAGTTTCGGAAATAGTGTCAAAGAGGGAAGTCGACGCAGCCGCTGTCGTAAACGACAAGTGCCTAATAAGAAAATAATAATGTCTAATAGACCTGTAGCATTTAAAAACCCTTTCTCTAGGCCATGGATGTCGGAAACTGGCGCAGCGGCTGCGGCTGGCGAAAAATCGAAGGGTTTGAAAGGTGTTGTGGCCGGCGGTATAACTGGTGGCATTGAAATTTGTATAACATTCCCGACGGAATATGTAAAAACACAGCTGCAATTAGACGAAAAAGGTTAGTTTACTCTACTTTCATACAAAAAATTAATTAATTTCATTCATAAATCGATATTTAGGTGGTGCTTTCTTCTAACATATTTGTAAACATCGCGCGGAAAGTACAAAAACTATTTGCTAAAAATACTATCAGTTCGGACGTCATTCGATATTTTTGTTCCATATAATATTAGGCCGATATTCGTTTGTTTCCGGGGGTAAACTATCATTAATTACAGAGAGATGTTAATTGGTCTACGTTAAATAAATTGTAGGTTAGTTAACCTTGGGGTATTCGGAAAAACAAATTGTTTTGCGTTGATCGCTCGATATCTCTTCACCGACGGTAGGAAATTATGTTATACCTACGTTGGACTTTGGTCCGCTACAGCTACATGTTATGTCAGAACAAGCAAATAAAATTCTATTATTCAAGGCTATTTCCTTTGACGCGATACTAGACTATCTTAAATGACGGAGCACTTCTTATTAGATACCAATTTATTTCGAATACCGCCAAATTATTTAAATAAAAATATTTACTGTTGTAATAAGAATGTTATTTTCTTTTTAACCATATTTATTATTCAACAGACTGTTGAACTTGCGACCTTTTGTTTAGTTTAACTTCATTATTTTCCCGTTGTTTAGTTTTGATGATCGTTTCTATTTTTAAAGTTGTATTCTTGTTAGAATGTCTATAATCTTGATTATGGTACCAATTTGGGCTCATCCACTTTAAATTTTCTTACATATTGAATTTTTCATTGTACAAGTTCATACTAAGAAGTTCAAGAAAAGCTTCTATAATTATATTGGTAATGGATCATTATGTAATATAAAATAGGTGTGATAAAATATTTTTATTTTGTCACACCTATTTAGGTATAAAATAGGTATAGTATAAAATAAAATAGGTGTACTATTTTATAGTGATTTATAGTTTGAACAGAAGTTCAAACACTTCAACTAGAAAGTTCATTGCAAATAGCTAATATTACAATCAATATTAGTTCTCCTTACCCTACATACCTAGAAATACAAAAATAGTTGCTATAGTTCTATACAAGATTCTAATTAAAAAATAATAAATTGGCTGAATGAATGACTATAACGTAACTGCTAAATAAAAAAAATATTAGATGCAATAAATTCTAATGCCTTTGTAAATTTGAATAACCATTAAATTGTAATTTATCTATCTTTTCTACTGTTAACTGATAGAGTTTTACAATGATAACCTAATTGAAATCAAATATGTACATTTTTAATGAGAATAATACTTACCTACTCATAATATTTCATTAACTGTCATTATTTTATGTTGTTCTTTTCCTATCAAAATAAGTAGGTAAATGATGCGTAGAATGACTTGTCAATAAATCATTGTCTATGTATCTAATTGAAAAATATAAAGTTAGGATTACTAATGCAGATTTTTTATCAAATGTAACAAGAAAATGATGAATGAAATTTTCCTAAACAGCGGAAACATTTGTTCATTACATTAGACACACAATTTCATTATTATGTTTTATGATAAAAATATACATGTGCAGGGAACGGTCTCCCTAACATCCACTTGATTCTTCCTACAGTACCTATGCTTTCTGAATGAGTCATCTATCTTCTTAATCGCTTGATATAAATTGCCAAAGGGCATTGACTAAAATTGGTGCCTTTCTTTTTTCTGGCGGCAGTCGATGATTTATGGAAAATATTATCTAAAATGTCATTACAAACGAAATTGTCTATGGGCTCATATATGGAAATCTCAGTCTGGACTGAGTTATGAGCGTTGAAAGAAGCTGGAATAAAACATTTTACTTTTGTTGTTTTATTCAAATTATTCATATTTCTGTCACAATTTCTAACTTCAAATTGCGCGCCACTGTACGCCGGGCACAGAAACACCAAATCACACCACAATATATCCATATTGCCAGTCGATAATTTTTATTAGCTATTTTCTCTCAGTCGATAACTTGTGGGATGCTTCTAGGAGTTGTGTCATGAAGCTTCATGAGTGTCAGCTGTGGTACCGTTGGTGGGTTGAGTAGTAGTAGCCGTCCAAACATCTACTAAAGTATTTTTTTGCCGTTGACTCCTGGTGGGGTGGGAGACTATCTACTTCATAGTTAGCATAATTTTTTGAAAAAAGCAAACCGTCGGCTTTGTAAAGTGATGGACTATACGTCAGATGAGCGCATAATTTTTCATATAATGTGATCATTCGAAATGCATCACTTTGTGACTGAATGACGATGTCTTTGTACAGAATCTTATGCTAGATGTAGATTAAAGTATTAACTGTAGTTAGATTAGTTACTAATCGGAAGTAAGTCAGAAGAAGTAGACATAAAAATGATTTTTTCGTGTTTTGATGACTGTTACTACTCAATCCGCTACCGACGCCGCAGCTGACAAACATTGCCATTTCATGATAGGGCTCAGTAAAGTATTTTGCGGGTTTTTGACTGAGAGGAAATTGATCATGAAAATCTGTCATAGGCCATAAACCTATAAATATATAAATTGTACCTATAAATACATAAACATATAAATTGAACATGCTAGTCAATCAAACGAAATGTTTTTTTTTCTTCAGCAATGGTCAGTTAATGGATCACTCTGTTCTGAATCCGTGGCCTTAAAACAAAAAAAAAGAAATAAACAAAAAAAATAATTATAAAAGTCCATAATAAGCTTAATTATATTCCTTAAAATCGTCTATAAACATTTATTACAAAATATTTCTGACAAGTAAATGAAGAAATATGCGATGTGTACGGTCACCATCAACAAAATCAAAGGAATTATATAGCACTATTTTCACATCTTTGAACTGATTTAACTCGGTTTGGACTGTGTTTTTGATATAAGACCCCATACATTTTTTTATTTGTAATGTTATTCTGCATCTATTTTTCCACATCCGATCAACTGCCGCGAAAAAATGAAAAGGCACCACGCTCCATACAAATTTGGTCATTGTCATTTGTTCATACAAAAGTAGTCTCTAAACATTGGATATTAAGGTGTAGTGTAGTCTTAGTGGAGAGCGGTCACCAGTGACTGCTTAAGGATTGATCAGTTAACTGAAATAAAAACAAATACAAGTGAATACCTCTTCTAATAAGACCCTAGTGTAAAAGGTACTAGTAATAGGTCTAATAAGAATTTACTATTATTCTTTTCTTCCTTCTTGTTCTTCTTTGGAAAGACTCCAAACACCAAATAAATTATAATAATATATTGAAATTTGAAAAACCGGATTTTTTTTTTTTTAATGGGGGAAAATCATCGAATGACTGCTCCCGCCTGGGTGAGGCGGAAGGGAGTGTCAGACTCTTACTGACTAAAAACCACCCCGTTCCTTTTCCTGCACGTCGAGCCGGAGCCCCGGTTACCCGTTAGGTTCTCCGCGACAAAAAGACAATCGCTGTGTCGGGATCGAACTCGGGTCACTCAACGCTTAAATCGGTCGTCAAACCAATCAGCCAATGTAACAGATTGAAAAATCGGATAGGGTCTAATTTACTTGTATATCACGATTTTTATTCCTTGTAAATATCTGTGAAAGTGTGAAACCTACTTATGACTTGAATTAATAATAAAAGGGGCTACTGCCATAGTCTAGATTTTTTTATACTAGAATAGAAGGGAAACGAGCAGACGGATCACCTGATGGAAAGCGATCAGCGTCGCCCTTATGATGCCTGTATGACACCCATATTTTAAGTGCTATCTACATTCACAGCCTTCATAAAACTAATAATATTTTACCATGTTTTTCTCCTACCGACATTTTAATGCCAGGTCAGGTCAACCTATCGTTTTCTGTCAAATTTTTCTATCATATCATCAACTTGATCACATACGGGCTGGTGCTGAAAATCAGCGCCGTGGGCTCGAGCCTCTGTGCCCGGTTCACGGTATTATTAAGCTGAGCTCCAGCCTTTTGCGATGCGACGCACCATGAGCTTTTTTGTGTACCTAAATTCTTGTTGTGTGTCGTGGTAAAATAAATGGTTTTTCTTTCTTTCTTTTCTTTCTGTCATTGGTATAAAGTCGAAAATCCAACGAATAAATTCGATATTTTGGAGTAGGTTCATCTACTGGCCACTGTACTTTCTAATCAGTTTAACGACCATTTGTTACATAGGCTCCATTAGGACTGGGCTCGCTGTCATTGCAGCGGTAAGTCCCCTCTTTAAGGAGTGGCTTGAGAGACGCTACGGCGTCTTTACCTACCGCCTGACGCAGGTGCTTACTCCCTCTCGCCTCACCCGGGCGGGAGAAGTAATGGGATGATTTTCCCCCTCAAAAAAAAAAGCTCCATTAGGACACTTGGCACATTTAATGTAAATTGGTCTAAGTGAGAAGTAATAACGAATAATATCTACGTTACATAGTATAGAAAATTAACAGTATCCTGTCACAAATATTAGGTGTTTTGACTGTTATCCACTATCTTTATCAATTGTTGTCATGTTAACTTGCTATCGCATTTGATAGCCAGATCCGAGGCATAAATAATAATATTGTCTTATCTATTAGATTAACGGCAATAGAGAAGAAATAACGAAGCTATGAAAAAAAAACCACTGTTTCACTCGGAGTGGTCGCAAGTGCAACTGCTGTTGCCTCCTCGCAACCCAGCCGTCGCGAAGGACACACCGGGCGTAGGGGATCGCGGGACGATCTCCGGCCACCGTAAGCGCGGGCCTGCGGACGGCGAGCATGGGTGGCTCCCCGTCCGACCAGAAACAGACCCGAGCGTACGGCGCGTCGCGTTCCGCGCGCGCCTCAAAGAGCCATCAGACCACCACAGATGGGGCCCAGTAGGGCCGATGCCGATTCGGAGTCGCGGAGAACCTAACGGGTAACCGGGGCTCCGGCTCGACGTGCAGGAGAAGGAACGGGGTGGTTTTTAGTCAGTAAGAGTCTGACACTACCTTCCGCCTCACCCAGGCGGGAGCAGTCATTCGATGATTTTCCCCCCTTAAAAAAAAAAAGTGCAACTGCTGTGTAAGGGGTCGGGTTCGATTCCCGGGTCGGGCAAGGTATTACTGGGTTTTTTAACAATTCTTAGTAGTAGCACGAAGAATGTAATTGTGCAGGATGCGGGTAAGAATGTAAATGTAAGTGTGTCACGCACCCTTTATTACATGGGACTCATAACATAAATAGTGAAAAGTGGGTGTGACATTGTACAGTGGCATTAAGTGCCGTTACATGCACTTCTGCCTACCCCTTCGGGGATACAAAAGCGTGATGTTATGATAATGATGATGTTTCACTCAAAAACAAATTATACAAACACAAACCTTTGAAAGCCAATATCATTCTACAGCTATTTTTAAACCCCAAAATCATACCATAAAAAACTTCGTAGGTATCTTAAAAAAAGACAAACTGATATAATACACTTTCAAATTGATTTATAATAGTTAACGATACACATCTGTTCACGTTTTTTATGATACAAGCCGGTAAACGAACAGACGGATCACCTGATGGTAAGCAATCGACGTCGCCCATGGACACTTTTTTTAAGGGGGGAAAATCATCGAATGACTGCTCCCGCCTGGGCGACGCGGGAGGGAGTGTCAGACTCTTACTGACTAAAAACCACCCCGTTCCTTCTCCTGCACGTCGAGCCGGAGCCCCGGTTACCCGTTAGGTTCTCCGCGACGCCCATGGACACTTGAAACACCAAGTTGTCACTATCTCTTTTAGCAGAAATCTCCATTCCGCTAACATAAAACATAGGAACTCCGACTAGCTCTCCAATTGACAGTTTAACCTCAGAACAACGCGGCCACGGTCAACGACTACTATACACGATATATATAACGTAATTCTATGTCATATGTAACATACGGTACACATTGAGACTAGTCGAGACTAGCCTTGACCATAGACGGTTTATGTATAGTCAAAAGTGTAATAACGACACACACTCCTCTTATTCACACTCGGGGCGTCAGAGGTCGCGCGACGATTTGCGACCACCGTAAGTGCTGGTCTGCGGACGGGGAGCAAGGATAGCTCGCTGCCCGACCACAAGCAAATCCGAGCGTACGCCTCAGAGCGGAGCTATCAATTAGACCACCACAGATGGGGCCTTGTAGGGCTGATACCCGCAGACGAGAACTTAAAACGAGGACGAAAAACAGGAGTAGGAACGGGGTGGTTTTTAGTCAGTAAGAGTCTGACACTCCCTCTAGCATAACCCAAGGCGGAAGAAGTCATTGGATGATTTTCCCCCCTCAAAAATGATTTATTATTCCGTGAAACCCTTACTATACTGTTTTCTTACTACTTACTTACTATATCGTAACAAATCTACTGTTTGTGACGATTTGAGATCTTAACAAGTTTTACTAAAACTTTACACCTTAGTAAATGCATACTCTTTTTTTAAAGGCTGGCTCCCATAGTGCTGGCTGGCGTTATGCCTAGGATGATCCGTGTGCTCATTTACCTTATTCTACTAGAAACATTTAAAAAGCAATGCTCGTCAACGTTAATAAAGAAAGTGTTTTAATATACAACTGGCTCAAAAGATAATGGTGGTTTGTAAGTCTAACGAGACGACATAAGTTATTTTATTACCAATTAATTCCAATTAGGTACAATTCCATTGAAAACTGTTAATCCCACTGCACCCGATCGTAAAGAAAAAATTGTGGATATTAAGACGGCTCCTAGTGCAGCCAAGCATTTTAAAAAACGCAGTTAACTTCGTCTACGTTAGATTATAAATATACTAAGTAAAAATATCTATTTGTATTTTTATCCAAGTTGAAAATATTCTACTGTATCAATTTACGACTTGCCGGATGTTTTGAATAGCCAAAAACAGTTGAATTCGCATCAAATGCAGTAGTGGTGTTATTTCGTTCTTTTTGTATAGTCACTTGTATGATTAACAAATAAAATTGTGTTTTGTTAACGGCCAAAATTGACAACCGATGTCAATCTAAAATCTGTAAATTAAGATTGATTTTTGATATTAGTTGAATAGAGTTTCTGTCATAACCAGAAATAGATCTATCCAGACATTTTGGATTTAAATTGATTTAATTTCGGCTGTTTGTCGAATTACGGGCTTTGGCGCATCAGCGCATTTAGTCTCTGATCTCCCTTATACTTGGCAGACGGCTTGGCGATCGCGTAAAGTTCTCGCAAAGTTATTACCATTGCCCTGCTCGTCCATTGGCGGGCTGTTTGCATTTTTAGGACATATTATATCCCCTAGATAAATCTTCTACAAAAAAAAACTAAATTGTACCTCTCCGTCTTTCAGGAGGTTCTAAGAAGTACACAGGCATCGGTGACTGCATCAAGAAGACTGTTAAATCTCATGGAGTATTCGGCCTATACAGAGGACTCAGTGTCCTTATCTATGGATCCATACCGAAGTCTGCTGTCAGGTAAACTTGCACATAACTATTTTTTTTTTAAATAAACTGTGACACGCGTCAATGTGTGAGCATGTGATCCATCGACTCGATGGTAACCTATTTCATAGAAAAACATCCCTCTTTCACATCGTTTCCTAGGTCTTAATGGGTTTTTCAATACAATAACGTATTTGGCATGATAACTGAAGTAGTTCCAAACATAATTAATTTAGTATGTCTCGCGAGAGTAAATTGTGTTACTTTCGTTAATTGATTTTAGATATGGGTACTTCTTATTCTTCTGTAATTCTGGGGAATTAAATAAAAACTATTTATGTACTAAAATATTACGTCATCAAAGTTGTCCATCTTAATCGGCCATTGAATTTAGAGTAATTAAAAAACTGATAACAGAATTTGTCTTCAGTCTGTTTGCTGTTTGATATAACCAAACAACGTTATTAGTACTTTCCGAAACAAATTCGTATATTTAATTGTCACAACTCACTTTCTCATAATTACTGCACCCCTGGTAATTGTATCTGCTCTGAGCGAAGTTATGAATGATATTATCCACCAAGTGAAGACAAATTTTCTCCAGGAATTCGGTTGCATAACAGACAAAAATAGATGTTGAATACAACGCTGAAGTACCAGGCGTTCATACTTTCATAGTAGCTTCCAATACAAGTGTGCATTTAACTGCGTTAGAAAGTATTCCGTGATTCGGTTCTCAATTTAAACACAGATAACACAAATTATACGTAAACAAACAAGAATAACAAATGAAGACCTTATCCATCAGTTTTAGTTTCGTTTAACACTTCATCTTCCAAAGAACAAATATTTTGTTTCGCTTCACTGCAGTAGTGATAAAAATTTCTCAATTTTAAAGTCACGTTTATGTTTAAAGATAACCAAAACTGATAGATATATTATAAAAGATAAAGTGTAAACTTGTAGGCCGTAACAATAAACAGAATTATAAGGATAGTACCAGGTTATCAGAAGCTACTAAGCTACTACTTTAAGATTTTGGTAGTCTCCGATACGATTAGTGTTTTGAATGTCACTGAGTCATAATCTATCTGCCTTGAAACCATCTTGATATTTCCTCTATTGCTAGGTCGGCGGTTGAGTTTTATCTAAATTCTAAAAAATCGTACACACGAAAGTACGAATACAAAACTAGTATAATCCGATTAATAGTTTCTTCAAATTCAAATAGATTGCTTGACTTCCTTTACCAATGACTGGCATTCTACTTTAGATAGGTACGCTTCTGATCCATCAATACATATCAGCCAAAGACTTCTAATCATATGTCTCTCCCAATGATTTCCATTATAGCAAGATAAATACTGTCCGATGACGCGCAGGCCGTACTTTGCCCACCACTTGCAAAGAATAATAAATCTGCTTTAATAAATCTTAGTGCCGTGGAATAAATAAGTATTTTGGGCACCTACTGCCTAGTATGTTCAGTCACTATATTAAGATTACAGAACTTCAAGATATTGTATAAGATTGTTGGTTTTACAAGAGCTAATGATAAGATTAGCGGGGACTGGTTTAGTAATACATTTTCACCGATAGTGGGTGGCAATAGAGATGATAATCTAATCACTTATAATATTGACGCGCTTAATGTGATGCCGTCATAAAAATGTCATAAAATACATCCTTTGAACTCCTCTGGTGGTTGCGGGCAACGCTGATAGCTTGCCATAAGGTGACCCGACTTTTTGTTTGACATATACCCAAAGTATTGTTTATGGATAGCATTTCATGAAGAAAGTCGTTGTGCATTGTTTAAACTCATCTTTTGTGCCACAAATCCCCCCAAGTTTGAACACGCTGATATCAAAATGATGAATTGCACTAATACTAGTCGTGTTTTGATATCAAAAGTATGAAAAAAATCGCTATTTTTATCTGATATAACCATCATAAGCACCGACTGAGAGAACGGGCGACAATGGCCTGTTTGTATACTGATTAGAATGTGCTACATCATCTATTTTGTTTCCATGGCGAGTACGGAAACTCGTGATGTATAATATTATTGTTTAGAGGAAAGATTTGGTTCTTGTTTATTTGCTCGAAAACTATTAGACATTGGAAAGTTTATTTTTTTAGGAGTAGCCTCTCGATATTCTTATGAATACTAGAAGTATTCTTCTCTTTTTTTCTTTCTTCTTTAAGGTTTGCGATCGTGGAAGTAGGCGAAAAGGTAGTCTCCTAATATTTGTAAGCTTTGAGTTTGCGTTTATAAATTCTTCTGAGGCCTTTTGTACTTAATTGTATCAGCTCCATGTTCGGAATGTAAACCCAGGAGCCCTAAGTCTAAACTATTGTTATTGTTATGTGCCAAGCCAAAAAATATGTCGTACTACTTCTTTCATATGTGAAAATATAATCATTTACTATTCACGCTATAAGTATCTTCTGGTGTTTTAATGAGGTACCAGTTCGATAGCGCCATAGTTCTATCTTGATAGTCAGACAGTATCATTTCAGGCAATTATTGCCTAGCCAACCCGACTGGATATCATATTGCCGCTGATACTGATATTATTAATCACCTTGACCTTTCGTTGACATTGCTACTTACACTGTATTTATTTATACCCACACGTGATAGATAAATATTTCCGGAGTAAAGATATATTTGCGAAACCATTCGTCAAGAACGAAATTAGTTTTGGCTTTTATCGGATAAAATGGCACTTTTATACGTCAACATAAAAATAAAGCTGGATGAGTTCTGCATTTCCAGAAAAATTCCAGTGATCAATCTTTTACGCGTACCTAAAGTAAAAAAAATATTGAAAATGGACCTAAAGTACTTATCTATGAAAGTCACTAATAAAATGAGAGAATTAATTCGCTAGACTTGTTTAATTACAGTAATCACAACTTATAATTCTTTTATAAACCACGCTTAAGACTTCATCCCCCTCTTGCCTTGAGTCGATTAATGAATATACTAAAACCTTCTCCAAAGTGTAACAATAACAATCATTTTACTCGAAATCGGTTCAAGCAATCGCGAGATAATCGTGAACAACAAACACACACACAGGTCAAATTGAAAACTTACAATGTCCTCTAATAACCCTTTCTTCCTAAAGAATAAATCCCTAAGATTTGTTCAACTTAAAATATACAAGTACTAGGATTACATAACTGCACAGTAGTAAACGGTGCTCGCCTCTCACATTACAGCATTACTTTAATCTATCCGAGTATAAAGTCGCCACGTAGGTATGTATATCTCACGTTACCGCAAAGTGGAGCATTAATGACTGATAACAACAGTTCATTGTGTCACTTAGCCGAAGGTTGCATAAACAAACTCAATGACATACAGGGCATTGCGTTACTTACATTTAATTTTATGAAGATAGTTTTCACGAATAACTTACAATCTTGTGGTATTATCTCCCCTTATCTTTACAATTATTCGCTTTATCTACCAAGATTTCATCATGTCTTTGCTTTAGGAAGCGTTAAATAACAAGACTTCACTCATTCTTTGGTATAATAACTATTTCTTCACTCGAAAAGTTAACTTAAATCATCATAATACTTTTAAAAACGAACCTTTACATTTTATCAAATAGAACCGACGTATTTTTATCGTTTCTCAAATTGACGATAAAAATGATAACAGTGATATGTTAAAAACTTTCTACGAAAGTACCAGGCATGCATACATCGGAAGAACTATTCCCATAAAAATGCGGAAAGAGTTCACTGTTCATTCTACGCTTTAATGAAACCGGTTTGAATGGAAAAATAAATCCTACGTAATTTTTGGTGAAGAATCTTACGGTAGATATAATTAGACGAGACGCGTCACGAGTGTCTTTACAACAAAATATTATGTAAATTGGTTTGTTTGTTAATACAAGTCAGTGTGCTAAATAGTAACCGGTTCTTGGTAAGAAAATCAAGGCCGTACACTATTATATAACGTGTAATAAAACTTTTATTTGATCCAAAAAGTCTGTTGAATGAAAATTCCAATTGTAGTATTTGATGTCGTATTTGTATAGCTATCACTGGTTCCCTCTCGACCTACATACATACTTGACGCCGCAGTATAATAAAGCGACCCTATTTTAAGGAATTGAATGACCTCAATCACTTCCCTGCCGTCAACCAGTGGGGTTTCCAAAACCAATACATAATTAAAATCAAAGTTATTTGTATCGTGAGCGATTTCTACTGACTACTTATTCTGTTTACGAAAAAGTACGTCTTTCAGATAACAAATACGGATGCATTATCTGCTCATTTCTGGTTTTATGCAATTTACGTAATATGTTCGGTATATTCCTCTTCGTTCTCGATATTTTTTATCAAATAAGTATGAATTATTACAACTAAACCTTGAAAAATATCGCCATCTACCTATCTTGCATACAATAAATAAAATTCTTGCCGGTTAATGAGCAACCATGGCTTCATGAAACGACTTTCTTTATCAAACAGCTGCACGGAAATATGAACCTTATAGTCTAGAGTTGACCAGCAATCTTCTCTTCCAGATTCGGTGTATTCGAACAAGCGAGATTGTATATGTTGACGGAAGATGGTACGTTGTCGACAACTGGCAAATTGACTTGCGGTCTGGCCGCCGGAGTGTCCGAAGCCATCTTCGCAGTCACACCTATGGAGACGGTGAAAGTCAAGTTCATCAACGACTTGAGGTTGGAGAAGCCAAGATTCAGAGGATTCTTCCACGGAGTCCGGACTATTGTTAGAGAAGATGGTTCGTATCACTATTGAAATTATTTGTTCACTAGCTTTTACCCGCGGCTTCGCTAGCGTCACAAAAGGATAAAAAGCCAATGTGACATATAACAATACACACAGCGCCATCTATACCAATACTTTTGTTTTTCCTCGGGAATATCAAATTTTTCCGGTATAAAAAGTACCCTATTATTCAATCCGGACTTCTAACTATACATCTGCAAAAATTTAAAGCAATCGGTTTAGTAGTTTCGGCGTTAAAGTGGAACAAACAAACAAACAAACATACTCACTTTCCGATTTATAATATAAGTAAGGATATTAAAGCGCACAATTGAATAATATAAAAAGGTCTAAGGCATCTATAATGATGACGTTACGACTTCCAAGTCCCAAATTGGAAGAATAATTTTAATATACAGTTTTGGATTCCTGAACCAATGGTAATGGTTCATCATAAACTTCTATTAACTTGCTTTCCTTTATTCTCAGGTATTGGAGGTCTATACAAAGGTGTGACAGCTACAGTAATGAAGCAGGGAAGTAATCAAGCCATCAGGTTCTTCGTGATGGAGTCCTTGAGGGACTGGTACAAGGGCGGAGACAGAGACAAGCCTGTACCTAAGTACATCGTCGCGCTGTTCGGTGGTATAGCAGGTAAGAATATGTCCAGTAATACGTAGCACTAGCAAGTAATCAAGTTCTAATAGCCCTCGATTGATATTAACCCGTCGAGCTTAGAGTCCTTATGCATGCAAGAAAATACATTTATTTGGCCATTGGCACACGAAAACAAGTATCATTACAATAGAAATACAGTCAAAATAAAAACAAAAACAAAACATTAGTAATAGAATAGATTTTATAAAAGAGAAAGCAGCATGGAGCATTTTTCCTTATGATCCACCGGGTGCTCATAAGGACGCTCGAGGGGTTAATCAAGGTGGTACGACCCACAAATTATAATAGCAATGTTATTAAAAAAAACTGTCTCGTTGGCCAAGTGGTCGCGGGTTGCGGATTCGATTCCCGGGACGGGCAAAGTATTAACTCGTCGAGTACCGGTTTTATAGACACAATTAAAGAACAATAGGTCGCGGTCACCGGTGACCGCTTGGTGTTTGACAGTTTAATTGGGTTTTAAAAAAAATCTCAGTAGTAGCACAGAGCCACGATATGTGCCCGGTGAATGGCAATAGGGTCACCCCTATTACATGGGACTTATAATATAAATAGTGAAAAGTGGGTGTTACATTGTACAGTGGCATTAAGTGCTGTAATATGCAAATCTGCCTAGCCCTTCGGGGATAAAAGGCGTGATGTTATGTTTTTAAAAAGTCTATGAAGAAGAACAGTACTAATATTTGTATCACCTACATGATCTAAATAATAACAAAAAAATCTTACTATTACAGTGTGGTAATCTTAATTAAACCCTAGCAAACTGTGAAATAAAACATTTCTTCATAGGCCATATTAAATTACCACTTACAACAACTATGAGTCCTCACCGCAACTCGAAACTAATCAACTCACCTTGTAAAACATATCATCCTTATAACACAATTTTTCACTTCCAGGAGCGGCGTCAGTATTCGGTAACACGCCAATAGATGTTGTCAAAACTCGAATGCAAGGTCTAGAAGCAGCCAAGTACAAGAACACGTGGGATTGCTTCATCAAGACTTGGAAGGCTGAAGGCCCATTCGCGTTCTACAAGGGCACAGTACCGAGGTTAAGTCGTGTAGTATTTGATGTAGCAATTACTTTCACAATTTACGATTCCATTATGGATCTTTTTAACTACGTTTGGAAGTAGTTTTTAAGACATTATTGCATTTTGCATTGATGTCTCCGCTTATTAGGTCGTGATGATAACTGGTATGGACGCACGTGGAAATATTCTATAATAGATTTTCAACCTTATGACTTTGTTAGTAAAGTTTGAAATCTATTGAAGAGATGCGTCTAGTTGAAAAATTGTACATATCTCTTTAGATTTTTGCAATTAAACATGTTTTATGACATAATCATCACGATTTAATAGGCCTTCTTAGTTTATGTGACGGTAGGCTTATAACTAGTTTATATTTTATAACAAACATACCAAAGTAAGCAGTTTTTATTATTATTTTATTTATATGTACAAATCACGTGAACCTCGCATTTAAAATGGGTAAAATGTGATATATTTTAATGAACTGGAACAACGAGAAACAATAGGTTTTATATTAGCTAATGGATTTTTAAATAACCATGATTCTAAAGAATGCATTTCCACACATAAAGCTACCGCTTATTCGCTTACCGATTTTCAACTTTAGCTCACAAGCATAAGGTTGGAATTCTGTTGATGTTTGGTTTAGCTTGTGTTACACTTTTGTAGACAATCTACCGTCACATACATACGTAGATTTATTGAAATTGATTATAGACTTGTTTTTATTGTAGATGTACAAATATATTATAAAGCTGTGCTTGCGAAGAAATTTTAATGTTAAGTATAATAGGTAATTTGCTTTTAGGTGCAAAATTCTGACGTCATAGATTGAGTTCTATCTAAGTTTATCAATACTTAAAGTATCCTTTTTTATTATTTTCAGCATTGTTTGGTTCTATGCAATTTATTTTCTACTCTATTTATTTGCTGTTTAGATGCATTATTGAACAATAAAATCTTATTTGTATAATGAGTAATGACTATTGTGGGCCATACCTACTATTAATTTCAAATGCCGGTTTACTCACGTAAATGTTGAGCCACGCTATGCAAGTTTCAAGTCACAGTGGTACTTTTTCTCATGATGCATTTCAAATAATAATTTCAACACAAAGTTATGAAATATTATTTATTTAAACTTGTTACTTAGCATTAAGTTCCTAGTCTTCAAAATTGTTATATTTATTCAAACAAAACAGTCGAAACATAGTCTTTATATCGTAAGTAATAAGTGCTATTTTAGAAACATGTGTTTAACACTATTATTGAATTAACTTAATCTATGATGTGAACAATAAATATTTCTATAACTTACACTAATGTAAGCTATTGTTTTTGTGTTGTTGTATTTTATTGGTTCGATCGCAAGCGCAGCTTTTGATCCTGGATTCAATTCCAGGATCGGGCAATATCAGCCCATGTTGAATTGGCTAGGATGTGTTGCGGTACTCCAATGATATGGGTGTAAGCAGTTGTAGTAGGTAGCGGGGCAAATTGTGGTTTAAAGACTCTTTTTTTTATCAAACAAGATATCAACAACTTGTTTTTATTTTTAAATGCTGTATTATTTATTTCTATTCAGTCTTTGAACAATGTATTACATTATTTTATTTATAAAATTTCAGTTACTGTCTTGTACATCTGTAAAACGTCCACTACTTGAGAAATTCTCTAGATTTGAATCTAGAAAGCCTAGAGTTGTGCCTTATTGATGAAAGACAAAGTATGAAATTTCACTAGGCTGTATCGAAATTTATAACCACGGCTGTACAATATACTCTAATGAAGTAAAAAAAACAACAACAAATGTTCCACTATTTTCCTACCGTATTTTTGCACATCAGAGGCGTTCGGCGCTCTGATTGGCCGGATCCAATGAACCAACCAATTAAAGCGATTAACGCGTTCTCGTTTCGATTATTTTAAACGTAAAACAAACTCGTACTATGGCCTCATGGTAGATGGCGCTAGTGTAAACCTCTCGTCCTTCGTCCAATAGCAATTTAGCCAGTGTCACGTCATTGGGCGTTCAATATTTGACAGCGGATGTGATTGGACAAAGAGCCTCTATCTTAGTTTGCATCCTGGTGAGCAGAAATACGGTAACCTCCATTACTACATTGCTGCTTCCACTCATATCCACGCTTTCCCCCCTTTAGGGGAGTATTAAAAAGTAGTGTTAGTCTGTTAAAACCAGGGTTTTGTTTATTTATTACAATTTATTTATATTTTTATTCCTTTATTATATTACAGAGCGGGAGTATAAATATGTATAACTATGTGATTATATTTACCGGGTTTTGTGGCTGTATATTATATTTATTTGTTTATTTTTGTATGTTTTTATTAGTATTTTGTAATTTATATGAACCTTTTAGCTGATTCTGTCGTTGTTATTATGGATTAGAAGCGAAATGTTTTTATAAATTGTTACAACATATACAGAGTAGATTTTCTACTATATTTTTATATCTGATTATGTCAATGTTTGTATGAATTTTCCGTGTCAAATGTACTGGTGTATTTTTCTTGTTATGTTGCTATATGTTTAAAGAAGAAACGATGGTTTATTCTCTTTATAGCTATGTGTGTGAACCTGATTCCACATGTTGGCCCAAATTTAGTCCACAATGTGTATGGTACGAAGTCGGTTACTCCAACATTGGGGCCAATTCTACACACTGGGCGAGTTGCATTAGGGTCAAGTTGTGGAGCCGGGGTGAATAAAAAATAAGTCTAAGACGCTTATAGAACACAGAAATGTTAAACTATTGCCTCATAACCAACTTCTATCAACTTGAAAGCTTTTATTTTCTTACCAACCATGTCCGAGGGCTAAGTACGAGTTTATGAGACCGCGTACGGCGTTCTGATTGGCCGGCTTCAATAAACCAACCAATCAGCGCGCCGGAAGCGGTCTCGTTTCAATCTCGTTGAACGTAAACGCGTACTAAGACTTCTGGTTACAAACTGATCTGTTTGCATACGTAGGCAACAGGTTTACAAACTTTTATGTTCCAAATATGCATTTTACTTCAATCTTTTTAAGATTTTTTGAGAGGTCAACTTCTGAACTAGACCTTAAGGTCAAAGGTCTATTTCATACGCAACCCTCAATCATCTTAAAATGTCATTCCAGAACTTTCACATTGACGCTAAAAATATGAATTTTGTTAATAATTTTGTACCATTTCAGTTTTTATTGATGTTGACATGTTTATGTTTATTTATTATATTTTTCTTTTAATAAAATTGTCAGACAATTTGATTAGGCAGTATTATTTACCTCACATATCTTTAAACATGGGAAAAGCAATAAAACACTCAGAAACCAAAATAAAATATATATTCAATTTTGTAAAAATGTAAACATGCATTTATTCTCGTTGTCTTATCCCAACTATGTTGAGTTTAAACAAGGAGGCTGTACTTCTTATATTTAATATCACATCATTATTTCCATAACAGACCTTGATTATGTAAAAACCCTGTTTACAATCTAAAAGAACCCCATAAATCTTAAAACTACGCACTGGGCTCTATAAAACCATCACATTCCTCTTAAAATGGATAATTCTTCAGTCCTTTGAAAGCAGTAGCCGGTACACATCTATGATTGATATTGAAGCTACTTACAAAGTCCATCTCCTTCGCTGATAGTTCAAAATCAAATATATCGAAGTTCTCTATAATTCGAGATTTTGTAAATGATTTCGGTATTACTGGTATTCCACGTTGCGTCTGAAATAAGATAATGTACCATTGAAATTGATCAGTCACAATTTAAGCTGATTAGCTGCATAATGTTATTTGTGTGGGGGAGCCATGCTTCGGCACGAATGGGCCGGCTCGACCGGAGTGATATCACTGGTATCACTCCGGTCTCACGAAAAACCGACGTGAAACAACGTTTGTCTTGTTTCGTCGTGTGAGTGAGGTTACATTGTACAGTGGCAGTTAAGCGCCATAATGTGCCTACCTCTTCCAGGATAAAAGGCGTTATATTAATATTAATAAAATCTTTGAGACATTTGTTTTATGGAGTTTCTATTAAAAAATTTAGATCAATCTAGACTTTAGATCAGCTATCAATTTAAGAGTCTGCAACACAGAAAAACGGTATTATAATACTTACTAAATATCTCAAAGCAATTTGAGCGCGTGTCTTATTATATTTCTCAGCAAGCTCTCCAAGTCCAGGATCGGTTTTAATTATATCCTTTCCAATAAACTCAGGTCTGGCTTCCGATATGAGACCCAAAGGTGTGTATGCAACTGGTATTATTCCAAGATCTCCACAAAGACGCACCATTTCGCTTTGAATTAACGTCGGGTTTATCTGTAAATTAAATTCAATAATAAATAAAATTCTTTTCCTGTCCTTATCATTAGTTACTCCGTGTCTTCTCTTTCATTAAACTGTTTGAGAGTCGATTTTTCAATCATCAGTTAATTCTTAACAGTAGAATAAAATTGACAATTGGCAATTCTTAGTATGGAAGAATTGTCAAATATTCAAAGTCATTCCTCAGTTAAGAATTCACAGTGAATGGCGGACTTAATGCCTTAAGGCATTCTCTTACAGTCAACCATAGGTCAACCATCCTGAGCATTTAAGAATCTTATACTGTAAAGCGGAAGTTTGTTTTTTTGTTTGTTTGAACGCGCTAATCTCCGTAACTACAAGTCTGATTTGAATAATTCTTTTTGTGTTGGATAGCGCATTTATCGAGGATGGCTATAGGCTAAAAAACATCACGCTTCGACCAATAAGAGCTGAGCAGAGCGTGTAAAACTGCGCGGAAGTAGCTAGTGAGGGGATAAAATAATTAAAAAATGTAAATAACATGTCAAAATGCCACTCACCTCAATCTGATTGACTTCAGGTAGAATAGTAGAATTCTCAAACACTCTTACAAGTTGCTCCTCGTTGAAGTTGGATACTCCAATACCCTTGGTCAGTCCCAACTGGCAACACTTTTCCATACCTCGCCAGGTCTCCATATAATCAATTTCTGTGTCTTCACCTTTACTCTATAAAATACATCATTTTAATGTAATTATGTTTAAGATTTGCAGTTAAATATAAAACGGCATATTTTTATGCTGTGACGTGATAATGGTACCACAATGGAAAACTATGGAGTTGTCTGCCCTCTTCTTTTTGTATTAGTGATAACAAAAATATTAATCTTTACCATTCCATATATTTATTTAAAATTCTCTAAAAATACTCTTTTAAATACTATTTAAAAAAATAAAATTATAGCCAACCGGTTGCAGTAGCATCTTATATTATTGTTAGGAATATGAAAACTGTGCAAGAGCCCATATAAATAGCATGGTTGTATATATGGACAGAAAAAGCTAAAAATGGCAAGAAAGCAGGGATTAATACAAGTGACACTCTTTTTAATTTTTGCCTATACCCTCAAAAGCCAAAGATGTGAGATTAACCCATTGCATGATTGGATCACTGCAAGTGATTGTTTTAAGCGCCAATGTTGGCACATTAAGCACTCAATAGATTAAGTAACAGTAATGTGGGGTGAACAGGGATCGAGATGTGAATAGGAACAAGAGAAGAGGGGTGAATTGATACTATGAAAACCCAATATTGATTCATATCTTCTGTCTCTATTCGCTTGTCGATCCCTATCGAGACCATTTACAGTTTGTAAAAATTCTTACATTTGTTGAGACTGGCCAGTGCACTAAGTATAAATCAACATAATCTAGGTTCAACCTAGCTAGTGACTCCTTCAATGATTCAACTACTTGATTTTCAGCATGGCGATCATTCCAGAGCTGAAAAAAAAAATTTAATGTACTGAGTAGCAAGTACCTTCTAACTCTAATTTTGTAAGGCGAGATGCTATGAAAATGTAGGTATTTTTTATAAATTATTAAACAATTACCTTGGTAGTTACAAAGATTTCTTCTCGTGTTACAAGACCTTCTTTGATTTTGTTGTTGATTCCTTGGCCCACTTCCACTTCATTATTATAAAAAGATGCTGTGTCTATGAGTCGGTATCCAGCTTCTATGCCCCATTCTACTGCCTGTCTGAACTGGCCAGGTTCAGCCTTCCTCTGAAATAATATAGAAATTAGTGATTATATATTTTTTCTTTTGATTTATTTAACTTAATAATTATCTGTCTGTTAAACTCACCGCATAAGTACCAAGGCCTATCATAGGCATTTCTCGTACACCCAAAAGTTTTACAGTAGGAACTCCGTACAGATTAGATACCATTTTTCAAAAATTTTGGTAGGTAGGTACTGAATATAATAACTAGCTAATTAATTATTTCGGAGTATTATGTAATTATTGTTATCTTATCAAATAATAAGACAAGACAGGCAGTAATTTAAAAACTAATTTTCAACGAATAACCTTCGAAGGTACCTGTCATAAGTCATTAAACATTCAGTGTCTTTGTCATTGTCATGTTGTCATATCTCATAATATTCATCATTTTAATCATGTCATATGAACAAACTAATCGACTAAAAAAACTTAAATCTGAACGAAACGTTTAGTTCACCACCACTACCGGATACTGCTCTATTAACGTTACTGTACCAAGACACTGACAGTGACAGAAGACAGCAGTGATGTGAGATGCACAGACCTACTATAATAGTAGGTCAACTAGGTACTAGGTCTGTGGTTTTCAGTTGCCAAAGAAGATAAAAAAAAAAGGTCTGTGGTGAGATGTGACATTTATCGTATAGACATGTGGTTTGTTTGTGTCACTGTCATCGTGTTATTTATGTTTGTGTGAACTATTTAAGTTTTAATTTTATGTTACTGAATTAAATACAATATCAAAATGTCAACCGAAGAAACGTTTAACAAAGAAGCTGCCAATGCAATAGTTGGCTTTCTGAAATCCAATCTATCGAAATCAGGACAACTGACCATAGAAAGTGAATTGAAAACAGATTTTGTTCTTGCAAAGAAAAGGAGTCATACAAAAAAGAAGAAGAAACCACAGAAAAAAAAGGTACGCTGTCTCACCCGGCAAGAAAAGAAGTCAATAGGATTTTATACAATACCAAGAGATGGTGTGAAATACAATGATATCTTACCTTTAAATAAAATGTGGTCAAAGTACATAAATGATGTGTTAGAATTAGATAAACCTGTACCAGATCGCACGAGCAAGTCCTGGGAAACATTTACTCAAACTTTATTCAGAGCAGACTTCCATGGAAGCATGCTGAATGTAGTGCGGTCAAAATGTCCGAGTTATGTTGGCAAATGTGGTATCTGTATTATGGACACAAGGAACACTTTTAAAATTGTATCACAAGACAATGTAACCACCACCATACCAAAGAGGGAATGTGTCTTTGAAATATTTTTAGGCAAACAGAAAATTACAATATTTGGCAAAAATCTATGTGTGCGACCCGCTGAAAGATCTACAAAGAAAATAAAAGGACATATTTATCCAGATTTATAAAAACATGTCTTTTATTTAAATATCCTAATGTGTTTCAATGTATTTTTAAATATTTACCCATTTTGAATTTTGTTTTGAGATAACTATGTAATTCTGTAATGAACTAATGATTTATTATAATTTTTAATTAAAAAAAAAACTGTCTTCTTTGAGACCATGCTATAACGTGGACAACAGGTCTGTTGTCCAACAAGTAAGACAACTGTGTTACTAATTCATCAATTCCACTATAGCATATTTTCTAAATATGCACTAAAGCATATGCCGTAGCACATTATTCAAATAGCATAAAGTGGACTGGTGTGACAATGTACCATTAGTTATAAGAAACAGTCGGTAGAATTGCGCATATTTATTACAATATATTTCCTTTTTAGTTAGTGAAACTATTGATACATAATCCTTATCTTTACTATATATATATAATATGTAATAATATATCCTTACTAATCCTTACTAATATTATAAATCTGAAAGTGAGTTTGTTTGTTTGTTTATGGGTTCCACCATCACGCCGTAACTACTCAACCGATTGCTTTGATTTTTTGCAGACGTAAAGTTAGAAGTCCGGATTAAATAATAGGGTACTTTTTAAACCGGAAAAAATTAATATTCCCGAGGAAAAACAAAAGTATTGGTATAGATGGCGCTGTGTGTATTGGTATATATCACATAGGCTACTTTTTATTCTTTTGTGACGCGAGCGAAGCCGCGGGTAAAAGCTAGTAGTATTATAAATCTGAAAGTGAGTTTGTTTGTTCTGCTTTCACGGCGTTACTACTAAATCGATTTCTTTGAAATTTTGCAGATGTAAAGTTAGAAGTCCAGATTAAATTATAGTGTATGTACTTTTTATCCCGGTGATATTCCCGAGGGAAAACAAAAATATTAGTATAGATGGCGCTGTATTCCATTTAAAACAATTCAACTAATTACCTACTAATTGGAAATTTCACGCTTTAATCTATAGCGCTTATTTGGTGTTAATCTACACTTATTCGGTGCACTTTTCGACTCATTTATTTGCTGTATCATATGTAAAAATACTTAAAAAACAACGTGGTAACGTTGTGTAGTAGTTACGCTACTTGGTGATAGAAGGCGCTGAGTGTTTATAAAACGGGGTAGCGTTGGGGTTTTTAAGTATTTTTCGCTTTTAAATTTTAGTTCCAACCATTTAACATTAAATTGCATATTTTATAGATTTTAGGTTGTTAAAGGTTCACGAAATTGGTTTCTATGTAATAGTTACGCTACTTGGCGATAGATGGCGCTGAGTGTTTATAAAACGAGGTAGCGTTGTGTTTTTTAAGTATTTTTCGCTTTTAAATTTTGGTTCCAACCATTTTATATTTAAATTGCGTGTTTTATAGAGTCGTTTATGGAGTTTTATGCAGTTTTTAACGTGATGTTTTAACTGAAGGTAGTTGAAGGGATGGATAGTCACATAGGCTTCTTTTTATCTTGTAAAAGCTAGTATTTTCTAAATTACAACGTCGTTTTGGCAGGGAATATGATTGAAAAACAGTAACAGCCCTTTTATTTAGGGGGGAATATCATCGAATGGCATGGAAGGCTGAGAACGAGTTACTCTTAACGATCAAAAACCACCTGTTCCAATTTCTGTTTGCAGCTGCATGCGGTTTTTCGCAGCCCATGTCGGGTATCGGTCGCGGCACGTGAAACGCGACGAGCCATACGCCCCATTCGGGCGGCATGCTAACTTTGCTTATCCTACACACAGTGGACACACATTTTTTCAGTTATGGAATCGAATCCACGATACATTGTGCAACAGAGCCAACCGCGCCCTTTGGGAAATCACAGATATTATATTCCAGATGTTTGAGTTAATTACATAATTTTTGAGGTGGTAAAAACATTGCTTTTTTTACAAAAAATAAAAACCTTAAAACGGAGTTTTTCGTCTCTTAAAAAGTTTTTTATAATCTCAAAAGTTAAGTTTTTAAAACTACTGTAAAAAAGGCAAATCAAAATTGACATTGACAACGACAAATCTTCGTTGGAGTGAAACGTCAACTTTCTGTCATTATTAGACGAAAATCAGCGCAAGAAACTATAAAAAAATCGACCTATTCTCGTAAACAAAAGTATATAAATCACACTCGCTAAATTAATTTCAGATTATATTAAATTATTAAACAATGGCGAATACGAAAGACGAACCTGTCATCCTCGCACACGAGTGTTATGTAAAAAAGGATTATACAGGAGCATTGCAACATCTCAACGAATTGGAAACTTTAGTTGGTACGAGTAACAAACGGGTACAGCATAATAAAGCGGTGGTTGAGTTCATGATAAGTGATATGAAGAATGTGGACAAGTTGAAAAAGGCTATCGCACAGTTAACAGGCCTCGTATTTCCAGACATCGAAACGAAAGATCTTAGCTCACCATTCTTGTTATACAACTACGCTGTTTTACTGTATCATTCGAGATACTACTACCAATGTACTGTGCTCTTAGAGAGACTACTCGCTTGTAAGAATGTCAAAGACAACAAGCTATTCCAACAAATTGTTCTACTGCTGTTAGAAGCTTCTCTGTGCAGGAGAACTTATGAGAAAACATTGGAAATAGCAAAGGCACATGGTGATCCTTTGAAATCTAATAGTGATGTGAGTGAGCTCTTTGAGAGGCTTGTCAGTAGAGCCCAGTTATTATTGGGCCAGAAAATGAAGTTAACTCTCAAACCTGACTCCATAGAAAATGTATTTATTATAGCACAACAACATTATCTGAATGGTGATGTAAAAGAAGCAGCAAGCACACTAGGTCAGTACAAAACTATCAAATATAATTATGATTTGAAAACCCAGGGAGAAGATATTTGGGCAGCCATCAACAATAATCTCGGAGTCATATATCTGTCAATAAAGAAACCTTTTTTAGCATCAAAATATTTCCAACATGCTGTCAAAGAGCACTTCAAGGCCATGGAATGTGAGGACAGTGAAAAGTTAATAGCATGTAGAGACAGGCCCCTGTATGTGTATAACCTGGGCCTGGCTCTACTAGCTGCAAACAACTCAGAAGGAGCATTTGAGTGTTTAGTAGAAGCAGCACGACACTACCCTAACAATCCTCGGATTTGGCTGCACTTGGCAGAATGTTGTGTGAAGAAATGTTGCAGTGAGGAAGTTCAGCAATACACAGTAAAGAAACTCGGCAGTGGGCCACACACTCGAATTTTATTGTCAAAGGAAGGAAAAGGAGACAAATACTCAACATCGGGGGAATCATTTGCAATTCCCTCATTGTCATTAGAGTTTGCTGCATTATGTTTAAGAAATGCTATAACATTACTACCAAATCAAGAAGCACCAGCTGATGTGACAGCACCAATCATTCAGGCGCCTCCTGGCCCTCCAATCAATTGGAAACAGAGGTGTGAATTGAAAAACTCCACATTTGTCCTTCAAAGTTATGTCTTACTACATTTACAGGATCCTCTGTCCGCTTTGGTGAGTGCAAATGAGTTACTAAGTCAACCTGAGGCATCCAGCTGCCATAAGGCCTGGGCACACATATATGCAGCGGAAGCTCTCATCAATTTGGACCGAATATCAGATGCCATTGAACACTTACACCCACCTATGATTCATGAACTTGTCACAGTAATGCCATACCAAATGAAAGACTTGATAGCAGTCAGTGTATGGGCAAAGGCAGCAGTCTGTCACATCCTAAGAGGTGACTTAGTGACGGCAAGAAAAATACTTTTGCAAATAAATTCACCCAGAGTATTACCATTACAAATGTATTTAGAGATTTGCACAGGAAATGTAGAGAATTGCCACACACTACTCAGAAAACTTAGAATTACTAATTTATCACAATGAAGTGTTTACTATGTAATAAAATGTTTATACCCATCTACTATTTGTTTGATTATGTACCAGTCCTTGTACCAGACCATTATTTATCATTAATAAGCCCCTCTCTGTTGAAGAAATTATCACTGTTGCGATTCCTGTTCATTTGACAAAAGTTTGCATTCCATTTTTGTTTAAATAGATAGGTACTATATAGTCGTTTGTGAGAGAGTAGTTTTAGTGTTAATGAATAAATATTTTTCTAGTTATTAGTAGTTTTTTTGGTTTTCTCCTTACCATCTCTCAAAAATATATTGTCTGGCAACATTATTTGCGCACAAAATTAAAATGTCAAAATAAAATAATATTCCTTCATACTTCCTTCTTTTTGATATTTTCGATTTATAATAATTGGGAAACGCTAATAATAAACACTACAAAAATAAACGCGAAGAACTAATAATATGAAACTATCAGTTGGCTATAAATAATCAGTCTCTAAACAAGTGAAATAAACATGTTATCGAAATCAAAACACAAAGTGGGCAGATGCAGGTGTACAAAAATGTGAAATCATGACTAAAAAAAGTATTCTAACAAGAATTGAAATAAAACTAGCAGCTATGTCACGAAGATCAATATTTTTCCTTGCTGCGGCGGTGGTCATGTTGTATTTTTCAATAATACTGTTTATGTTGGGTCCTTTACATGGTTCGAGGGGCGGTTACTATGCGGGCGGATATATGAATAATTTTGCTTTTCGCCACGATCCTCCCGTGAACTGGTGTAGTGAGCTAACATGGCAGTCCCCGCCGTCCCCGGACGTGGTCGCGCTGGTGTCTTACCCAGGCAGTGGTAACACATGGCTCAGATATTTGCTGCAACAAGTTACTGGTGAGTTCTGTGGTATAAAAATTCAAAGATTGGTATAAGTTCTTTATAAATGAGTTTGTTTTATGATGATGAGATGAACCTCACTCATTATATTTGCTTATTTATATAGGTAGTTTAGGTCATAATAATAATATAATTGTACATTTCTTCTCTAAAAGTACCCAAAGCTAAACATCATATTTTTTTGAGGACTCTGCAGAGCATATAAATCTAAACAACAACGCAAATACATAATATAAACTGTTAAATTTTTTTTTATTCATCATTATATTGCTAGTCATACATGATACATCAAATTAAATTTATCATACCTTATCCTTTCGCAGGTGTAGTAACAGGCTCAATATACATGGATTATGGACTAAGAGTGCATGGTTTTCCTGCGGAAAATGTTACCGATGGTTCTGTCCTGGTTGTTAAAACTCATGCGGTCCCAATGGATTCCGATAAGTTCAAATCTGCAATACTGTTGATACGAAACCCACGAGATGCCATTTTGGTAAGTACAATTTAAACTTCTAAAAATGTTTATTTATTAGACAGTATTGTTGCTGTAAATACATAAGTTTAAATGTAGTTGACTGATAAATTAATTTGTTTTATTTTATGAATAAATTAAATAACTTTATATCTTAAGCTATGTTTTGAATGTTTTGTCCATTTTGAATGTTCTAATGTAGCCATTATTATAACATGCTTTATTCATGACCTGCATAGATAGGAAGTTAGCATACTGTATAATTATCTCATTCATTTATCAAATTCACTCAAATATTGATAAAATATATAAATGTGTGCTTTAGCTCTATAGTTTGATAGTTCCACACTATGATGTCATTTGTATATTGTCAAATTATAACATAACATAACATCGCACCTTTTATCCCCGAAGGTGTAGGCAGAGGTGCACAGTATGCCACTGTACAAAGTAACACCCACTTTTCACTATTTATGTTATGAGGCTCATGTAATAGATGGGGAGCCTATTGCCATATATCGGGCACAATTCAGACAATAAGTCAGTATAATATATTAGTAAGTTTGCTTCTAAATATAGAATTTTGCTGCAGAATTTCATGTCTCTTTGTTAGTTCCACCATCATATAAGTTTTTGACACCTTCCATTACGCGGTTACCATGCTAAGTTGAGAATGTTTATTGTGGTGTAATTATTCACATGTCTCATTCTATTTGTCATTTATTAATATAATTTTTTAAGCTTTTTGTTTTGTGTATATTTTTTCAGTTTGCGTTTGCCTTGTTTTTAACAATTAGTTGCTCTCTTTGTTACTCACTCTTTGCTTCGTGTGCTCATACAAGTTACCAGGGCTACAGAACCATCAAAGAGGTTTTTGATTATGGTAATTATTGTTTTTTTTCTTATTGTTAATTCATCTAATAGGATGTTTTGTCTGTACATACTTTTTGTTAGTAAACATGCAATGTGTTCAAAGTAATTAGTAATTGTTTTTACATATTTTCAATGTATATTTCCTTATTTGCCTGCTTATTTGAAAATGAATAGTTATTAATTTATGAATAATATTAGTTTATTGAGATTTGTACTAATTTGTATTATAACACATCATTTACACAATTTCAGGCTGACTTCCACAGACTGCATAGAGGGCACATAGGAACTGCACCGAAATCAGCTTTCAAAAAGAAATCACATGAAAATAAGAAATCAGGTATTTAACATTATCAAGTAATAGTTATTTAATCGAAAAATATAATATCTCACTTTTTTATAAATTTTTGTTCCTTACACAAATTACATGTCATGTCACATATGAATACTTATTTTTATTAGTCTCAGTATTATTCAATTACATTATAACTTTTTCCTCTAGGGCCTATTGGGGCTAGAACCTAGACACTAGGTGTTGGCTGACCAAAATAAATTCTAATATTTTTTTATGGAATGGGAGGCAAACAAGCAGACGTATCATGTATAATATATAACTAATACATATCATAATGTATGCCTTTTACGAAATAAATTCGCATGATTTTTATTAGGCTGTGCGAAGAAGCTCTAAGATTAATAATTTTTACCTTCTAAATTTTCAGACTGGTCAACATACGTATCAACGCAACTGACGGCTTGGGAGACACTGCATCAGATGTGGCTGACGAGATTCCCGGGGCCACTGCATATTGTCTTCTATGAAGTCCTGGTACGCGACACTAGGAACACACTGCAAGGCATACTCAATTTCTTGAATTATAATGTCACCGAGGTAAGTCAGTTTATTTTCAATCTGGAGAAGCTAGTGGTTGTTGGTCAGGTTAACAGGAAAAGACCTCGTGGTCGTTCACTTACCCATTGGCTAGATACTGTAAAAAAGCCCCCGGCCTCACAGTTCTACAAGCCATAAATACCGTAGAGGACAGGGGCGCTTGGAGTAGGGTTGTGCATCAAGTGACGCGTGCAGACTAGACACGATCTTCAGTAATGAAGAAAACGACTGAGAAGATGAGATAGGCCGTCAATTAGCAGACGGATCACATGATGGTAAGCAATCGGTGCCGTCCATAGATCTCGCTACACTACAACTAGTAGAGTTATATATAGTACATTGCAGCCTTTTTGGGAGTTAGGGATATATGGCATCTGTAACCCTCAAATTGAGGGGGGGGGGAATTACTTTAAACTTGTTTACATACACAACAATACTTTAAAACTGGTTTACTTGAGACCTTTTTCCCAAGGACCACTAGAAACTAGAAACCATATTATGTTGTTTTTGTCCCCATTTTAATCTTAAATTCATTACTCCTACCAGGCAAACATGAACTGCGCGATGGCTAACAAAGAAGGAATATACAGACGTAAGAAGAAACATCAGGACTTTGAACCATTTACAGCTGATATGTACAAAGCATTGGATCAGGTGAGAAACAGAGTTCTCAGTATGGTGATGGATTATAAGAGAAAACATGACAATTCACATGTAAGAAAAACATAGGGTAGAATGTCTAAGTAGAATAACTCTATGATGTTAAGAAATAGATACAGAAGATTTTTTATTTTGTTTTTACAACAATATAGCTCTTAAAATGCTGTTATTGTCGTTCTGTTGGTACAAAAATGATTTGTTTTGTTGTGTGAAAATAAGCAACACCGGTGCATTGATATTTATAAATGTAATTTAATTTTATAATGATTTTTTAGTGTTGCAATAAAGCTGCGTTATATTTTTTTGCTCTTGCAAACCAAGTCACAAAACTTTAAAAGCCGAATTTACAACCAATATCGACTTTCTGTATCTATTTCTTAATAATACAAATAAATCCATGACGTCAAAATATCAGTATTTTTGTATAATAGACACGATTTATGTAGATAAAATAAAAGGAAAATGATAAATGTGATTAGAGTAAATCTAATATTTTGTGCTGTCCCTTTATCGAGTACGGTCCTAGGATCCCTTTAATGGAAACCGCTCAAGCTTTAATGACAATGCTTTTTTAGATATTTGTGTGATTAGTACCTACTTAGATTAATAACTGAATATGTGGATGTGAAAGCAAGTAATGCCCTATCTCAAAATTGCACCAGATATTACAAATAAAGGTAATAATATAATACATACCCACAGTCAAATTGTTAAACAATTATTAAGTTTACAAATATGTACAGTGTAATGTGAAACAGTTATTTACTTAGGGTAAGTTCACCTGTTCGCGTCCACCCACCAGTTCGCATTCATTGTACACATTGCCATGAATGTAAGATACTTAACTCTTTCAGTCTTGATGGTCACTGTAACTAACCACCTTTCTTAGAAATTCAATTTTTGAAATATGCTCCAAATTAGTTTGCATTGGTTTTTAAGTATTTCAGTACAATTGAATAAAATATATTCGTAACTAGTTAAAAGTGTAACTGAAAGAGTTAAAGAAAATGTCAAACAGATTTATACTAAACTAGCTTTTACCCGCGGCTTCGCTCGCGTCACAAAAGGATAAAAAGTAGCCTATGTGACATATACCAATACACACAGCGCCATCTATACCAATAATTTCGTTTTCCCTCGAGAATATCAAATTTTTCCGGGATAAAAAGTACCCTATTATTTAATCCAGACTTCTAAACTTTACGTTTGCAAAAATTCAAAGCAATCGGTTTAGTAGTTACGGCGTGATAGTGGAACAAACAAACAAACTCACTTTCCGATTTATAATATTAGTAAGGATACTACAAATTTGGTGATAGTTTTCTTATTTTCGAGATTTTTTAATTTTTAAGGGCGTTCTGTAACATTGATGCGAACTGGCTGATGGACGCCAACAGGCGAACTTACCTATTGGCTACTTATTTTTGCGTGCAATCATAGTTGAATAACGAAAAGACTTGAACATTTTTTCAACAACTTTTTGTCATTTGTCATATTGTTATTATTTAGTAAAACACGCATAAGATTGTCTTATTAAATAATTGAGATGTTCTAAGAATATACAGACGAATCATCGTTTTATACAATCTAGGTGATAAGAAACAAGCCAACCTAGATTTAAAGTTAAAAATCGTACAAAATATCCTCTTTGTATGTTGTGATGTGGGACATATAACAAGAGTTTATATATTATTATGCTAATAGGGATGATGACGGCGTAAGAAAATTAAAAATCTATTTAGTCCGTCTGTTAGGTAATGAAATAATATTAGACACGTATTTTATATTTTGTTGTATAAGAAAACAATCAAATCAAACGAAATCACTTTTATTTGGAAACACAGGTGCATACAGATATAGGTCTTATAAATGGTAATAAAATAGGGCGCTATGCTTTAATCGGAGGCGTACAAATTGTGGTGAGCACTAGGCTTAAGTTTGCAAATTAAAAACCGAGAAAAATATGTTTTGAGGAAACATGCATAATGATGATATTTACTTGCATAGATAAAAGCATCATGCACATTACATCTCTCTCTCAATACTCAGATAAAACTAATAAAAGTTTAGGAGTAGGACCTAAAACGTCATTTCTACGTAAAAACGGCACGAGAAGTGACGTCACGAGACATTTGAAATAAATACACCGTAGAAATTATTTGTTTCCGTAAGAAAATAAAAAATACGTGTCTAATGTTTTAAAATAATCTATAAGACGGACATTAAAATAGAAATTAGTCATCTACCCTGTTACTGAAAAAACTTATAAAATTATAATATAATTCTTTGTTTTTGCATTTACATGCTTATTTCCCAGTTATGACAATATAGCACAATGTAATATTTCTAAGACAGTTGTAAAAAATCCTTCATTTTGAGGACAAATTAGAATTACGTTGAATTAGCTATGACACTGCCCGTTTATTGCATATATTTTTGTTATATTTTAATGTTTGCCATGTTGTTATTTCTTGTTACTTATTAATTCTGCGCACTGAAGCCCTAATGCATTTTGTCTCAAAGTCATTCCAACCTCATTCCATTGGGACAAGTTTGATGACAATGTTTCCTAGTTTTTAATCATAGATATCTTTTTAAATTATGCACTAATCTAACCTAACTAATATAGCTACTGTATCAATCAACGTAAACAATGAACAAAGCGTCTTAGAACGACGAAAAAAAATACTATAGTACTTTAATTTAAATATCTACCTAGAAAAAATAACACTTGACTAATCAAACCTACAAAGCGAACATATAATAATCAAGATAAGCGCTAGATGCGTACCCTAAAATATAGTTGATACGAAAGCTCGGAACCTATACTTTCGCCGGTAACGAAACCATAGCGCCATCTAACTCGATCCTAACGCCATCTATCGAGCGTTGAAACAACAGCGTACAATATATTTGCTAATTGTTGAGTATTGTTGCCACTATGGTTTCGTGTACCTTTAACAATCTAAAATCTATAAAATACGCAACTTAATGTAAAATGGTTGGAACCAAAATTTAAAAGCGAAGAATACTTAAAAAACACAACGCTATTCCGTTTTATAAACACTCAGCGCCATCTATCGCCAAGTAGCGTAACTACCACATAGACACCAATTTCGTGTACCTTTAACAACCTAAAATCTATAAAATACCCAATTCAATGTAAAATGGTAGGAATCAAAATTTAAAACCGATAAAAATACTTACCCTGTTGAATATATAATAACAAACACTCAGCGCCATCTATCGCCAAGTAGCGTAACTACTACATAGTCACCAATTTTGTGTACCTTTAACAACCTAAAATCTATAAAATACGCAATTTAATGTAAAATGGTTAGAACCAAAATTTAAAAGCGAAAAATACTTAAAAAATAGCGTAACTACTACATAGACACAAATTTCATGTACCTTTAACAACCTAAAATCTATAAAATACACAACTCAATGTAAAATGGTAGGAACCAACATTTAAAAGCGATAAAAGTACTTTAAAAGCACAACGCTACCCCGTTTTATAAACACTCAGCGCCATCTATCGCCAAGTAGCGTAACTACTACACAACGTTACCACGTTGTGTTTTTTAAGTATTTTTACATAAAAAATAGCAAATAAACGAAAAGCGCACTGAATAAGTGTAGATTAACACCAAATAAGCGCTATAGATTAAAGCGTGAAATTTCCAATTAGTAGGTAATTCGTTGAATTGTTTTAGATGGCACAAAGCGCCATCTACAGGAATACACACAGCGCCATCTATACTAATATTTTTGTTTTCCCTCGGGAATATCACATTTTTCCGGGATAAAAAGTTCCCTATTATTTAATCTGGACTTCTAACTTTACGTCTGCAAAATTTCAAAGCAATCGGTTTAGTAGTTACGGCGTGAAGGTGGAACAAACAAACAAACTCACTTTCAGATTTATAATATTAGTAAGGATACTTAATTGTTCCTAGTTTAAGGCCTAACAAATTATTTTTTATTTATTTTATTAGATTATATAGTTAGTTTACTAGTCAAAACTTTTAGTCAAGATTATATGTACTTATAATTTATGTTTAAGAATACTAGGATTGCATAATACGTTAGGAGGCCTCAGGCACTGGTTTCGATGAAAGAATGAATTCAACGAAAATCACAATTTAAAGTTCAAAAGCCTAATATAAATTGCACTTGGTTAAAATATGCACTGTACTAAGTTTATTAGATCCTAGTACTGACACAAATAAAAGTTCAATGATTGTATTACCTTGTATTTTGTACTGAAACTATTTTTAAGATCTGTTTTTTGTAGTTTTTAATGTTTTATTTTAGATATAGATGCATTTTTGTATTGTTATTTTTTTAATCCAAGTTTCGTAGCGTAGCTTCCAATATAGTCTGAAGAATACATTTTATATTATTGTATTATCTCAGGCCAAATATTTTAAAACCTTAATGAAGTATTTATATCAGTCTTGTGTTTTGCAATAAACCACATTTTGCGACATATGACTAACAACTTTAATGTTTCGTTTATAACGATAAATGATTATGATGTTTGTACAGTCAAAGGTCAAAAGTGCCACTGCCACCGTGAGTGATGTTCACACGGCAATGCGTAAGTATTTTCATATTAATGTGCATAACTCACTCACACACATGACTGCCTCATTGGGCGAGTGGTCGAAATTGCTACTGCCGGGCAAGCGGTCTCGGGTTCGATTCCCGGGTCGGGCAAAATATTACTGGGTTTTTTCAAAAAATCTCAGTAGTAGCACGGAGTCTGGAATTGTGCCCGGTATATGGCAATAGGCTCAACCCCTATTACATGGGACTAATAACATAAATAGTGAAAAGTGGGTGTTACATTGTACAGTGGCATTAAGTGCCGTAATGTACACCTCTGCCTACCCCTTCGGGGATAAAAGACGTGATGTTATGTATGTAATGTGCATAAAAACGCATAAACACACGCACGCGTACGCACACGGATAAAAATAGCGTGTGCACGCTGCAGCGCTACCGATAGTAGTCCTATGGTGGCAGTGGACTTTTGTTGACCTTTGAACGTACAAATGTAGGTACATTGTTTTACTTTATTTACTTTGAAAAAAGCTTTACAGTTCTTATTTAATATGACAAATCTATTTCATACTTCATTGTCGTACGACCACGATGCGCAACCGTTGTTAACCCCACACTAAGATTTTCTCCGGTGCGTTTACAAACATACAAGTTCACATACACATTACACCCAGACCCGCTACAACGATTTCTTTGTTTCAATATGAGCCCCGTTGGCTTGAAACTAAGTATCTCGCAATAATAGGGAGATATTGCATTGATACTATATTAACTATAATCTCTAACCCGCTTGCCGTGGAGATCGTGGTATTATCCTTTTTTTAAAGTTTCCTGTTGTTGAATGATAAGATACTACAACTAACAATATTATTATGTAGGTTGTTGATGTCAACTTAGATGCGCATCAAATTGGGTGTCTGCAACCATAGCTACCCCTGTACTTGTCGCGGAGAACCTAACGGGTTGCCGCGGCTCCGGCTCGACGTGCAGGAGAAGGAACGGGGTGGTTTTTAGTCAGTAAGAGTCTGACACTCCCTCCCGCCTCACCCAGGCGGGAGCAGTCATTCGATGATTTTCCCCCCTTAAAAAAAACCCCTGTACTTGGTGTCTGTAGATACTTCGGTTGCGCGACTGGTCATACGACTATAGTTCCATTATGATATGGTGCCCTAGTACGTTATTAGTTGTAGCCAAATACTTGCATTTATGTATTGTCAATGTTGATTAGTTGTAAGCACTACAGAAATGGATGTTAACGAATGCTAAGAATAAATGAATTTCCAAATGAAACGCTTATTTTTATTTTGAAACAACTTTTTGGTACCTTACTTACTGTTACAGTAACTAACGTAATTTGCTTATACCATTGCACTTATTTTACTTCTTGGTTCCTATTAGAAGTAGGTAGGTATTATACCTACAATGTCAATACAATTTCCAAAACCAATCTCAATGACAATGCAATTTTAATCCAATAAAATCTCAATAATTATACAATGTCAAAACTATACAAGTCGATCGATCGGATTTGGATTCAAGAGTAAGCCCCCTGAGCCATTCATCAATTACCAGTGATTACCATTATTTTGTAAGTCGACGATGTGGTGATTTTCCACGTACCTACTAATGTTGTTTTCAGCCAAGAACTTCGATGTCAGAACATTTTGTAAGCGGGCTATACTTATTGTATTCTTTGAATTAGACTTATTTGTCCCACCCCTATTCTATCCAACAATCAGAAAATGTGTTTACTGAGGGTGTGACATAAGGGTGTGGCGAAAATTTCGTAATTGTTTTAGCTAAGGGCTCGTACACAAAACTGCGATGCGACGTCGCAAAAATGTGCGAGCTCACTCTAGGCATCGCAAGAACTTGCGAATTGATTCGCATCGCGCTTCAAATTCTTATCTTCCCAAAATCTTTAGTTTCTTTTTCCTGTATGTCCTAAGCAATAACAGAAGTGCACACTTCTTGCGATCCATGTCCCGACTTAGTTTTCAATTTAAAATACATTTAGTACGGTTAACGGCCGGCGAAGGAATGGTCACCCTGGTTGACGCTTTGTCGCACGAAATCGTATCGCAGCAATTCGCATAGTAATCTTTTGCGTTGCGAATTCGCATCACAGTTATGTTTACGAGTCCTATGACCTAGTTTTTGCGATACTTCAAGACATTCCACCATGATGCAACCCACAGGCCTTTTGAGCGAGGATAGAATCATGGGCTCTTGGCCAATATGAAAGGCCTGTTTCACAGTGTCTAAGTTAATGTAATTTATGCCGGAATACTGAAACGTTACTCAATTTTAAGTCGTGCTCAAATATCGTGCCATCTCTGTCATTTTACAAAGAATTCGTAGAGACAGAACTATACTTAAGCACGACTTAAAATTGAGTAGCGTTTCAGTATTCCGACATTAGTAATTTAAATGATACATTTTATTAGTCGTTCTGTGACAAAAGGACAGTTTACGATTAAGGTTGAGGTACCGGAGAAATTAAAGAAATGTTTCATAAAACTAAATATGCTTTATTTCACATCGTGTCAATATTCATTGGTCACAAACAAGTTTTGCACTTCGACAATACTTACACGTTACTCCGAGCTTTTCCTTTACAATATAAAATATATGCAGTTAACAACAATCCCCTCAGTTTACGAATAAATTACAAAATCATTTTATTTATTTATATACGAAGCAGATTTGCTGTCGCGCGACCATCGGCGACGGAGCGGATACAGTACAAAGATGTATAAAAACGTTTTATGAAAAATAACAGCTACGGTATAGAAGAGTAGTTACAGATTAACTTTGAAAGTAGTGAGGCTGTTTGAATATAATATCTGTCCGCTCGTCGCCGTGGCGTTGGACGCGCGAGACCCGTGACAGGAGACGCGGGGGTGGTCCCTAGCGTACACGTCTAACGTTGCAACAAACAGCAAAATCAACGCACCGCGAGGGTTCAAGTAATCACATGTACAATTTAACCTCTAACAACATGTTATTAAACTCTTAATCATTATACAAAATTATCATCACAATATCACAAATAAAATACAGAACTCTGACGCTCTACTCTACGAAATTAAGATGTGAAAATTTAGTACACAATATAAATGTATCAACGTAATCATAAAGCTTAGTATGGATTTTATAAATCAATATGTCCAATATAGACATCTATTCTTATCCATAAGCGAATTCAGTCGAATATTAATTAGTACAAAGAAATGTATCTTATACATTTGAAATTAATGGAAAATGTCGAATATACAAATTAAGTCTTATTTAAGGCTATTGATCCCCGAGGCACGCGGCACTAGCGAACTAGTCGGTGGCCCGGGACGTCGCAGGGTCTGACCAAGTGTGAAACAAAGTACCTTACTGTACAAAAATAATAATAGAACAAACGAAACACTATAATACAAAATAAAAAGAAAAATAAAACAAGTTTATACAAAGTGTTACGTGACTGTATTCACACCAGTGGGGCCAGGGTACAACCATCGCTCTCTCGACTAACAAAAGATAACGAAAAAATTAATTCGAAAAGAAAAAATACATTTAGTGAATTTATTTATACAGACCGAAAAAAACAGTCGTAGAAAAAAGTTTAAATATTTATCGTAGAAAGTCAGCCTTCGCGTAACAATTCACTATACCATTTCCTAACTACATTACCGCGACCTGCCATCCAACGCCAAACCACAAACCATAGACTAGATCGTCCAACATTAGCACTTCGTGTTACAACACACGTTACATGTTACAACACACGTTACATGTTACAACACACGTCACATGTTACAACACACGTCACTCCATCAACTGTTCGGATACGGTCGGTAAATGTCGTTAGCACATTTAACATTTGGACAAAAATAATGAAACAATAATGTCATGGTGATATTAATGAAAATAAAGATGACAATCAATTATAATTCTCATACATAATTCGTAGATAAATAGCGTTTTGAAAACGTTTCACAAGCTAGTTATCGAAGCGGCTTGACTAGTTATTTAATGTAAAACTGTTTAGTCGTAACTATAGTTTTGTATTGCTTCTGTATTGTTATAGGAACGCTAATGTATGCAGACGGGCGGCAGAGGCGGGAGACGGGCGGCGGGCGCCAGGCGCGGGGCCGGCGCCCAGTCACTGCAGGCGGCGGGCGCCAGGCGCGGGAACGGGCGCCCAGTCACCGTAGGCGGCAAACGCCGGGCACGGGACCAGGCGCCCAGTCGCCACAGGCGGTAGGCGCCGGGCGCGGGACGAGTCGCCCAGTTACTCCAGGCGGCGGGCGCCAGGCACGGGACCAGGCGCCCAGTCACCGCAGCGCACGGCAGCGACGGCACACGCGCATGCTGCCGCAGTCGCCCCACGACGACATCTCCGAGCACGACCCGCAGAATATACCACCGCATCGTCTGCAACAACGATACACATATTAGTACTCCTGATTCGTCCCACATCAACTCTTACACAGGTCTGTGGTCCTAGTACGTTACCTGCAGTGGTGCCTGCGCCTGGCGAGCCAGAAGTGGTTCCTACAGTACTGGCAGCGCGGCGCGGCGCTGTCTGGCAGCCACACGACGCCGCGCGCCTCCTCGCCGACCTCTACCTCGGACGCGCTGCCGCTGCTGCTGCCACTGCCGCGCACCGACCCACTACCACTGCTCGTTTTCTGTACCAGGAGAATATAACGTTAGAGGAGGTACGATCCAAGTCCAAATGTTGGGAACTTTGAGATTGTGATAGTGACTAATTTAAACTTAGAATGATGGATACATTGTAGTTTTGTTTTGTTTATTATAGAACATTGAAAGTGATAAGTAATTTGACTCATTACGTTTAAGCTGGTCAAAAAGAATTTATTTCCAAAAAATAAGTTATTTTCGTAAGCTTAAAGGACTCGCTTTCTATGAAAAGTACTAAGTAAGTAAAGATGTGGCATAAATAGATGTGTGAGAGTGGTATGGCGTACTTGCGTGGGCGTGGCGGCGTGTGGTACGGGGGGCGGGGCGGGTGCAGGTGGGGATGATAGGCGCAACGCTTCGCGCGCTTCACGTAATTGGCCGCTTAGTTCCTCCACTACTTTCTGTAATCAAACAACAAGTATGGTATTGATGGATCGTTCATATACTGTGTAGGTAGGTATATGGGTTATGTAGCTTGAATGCATCTTACATAAACATAATGCACTTAAAAGCTGCAATTTACTTAGTAATACTACTAAGCGAGCATAAGTGAAGGAGATTTCCTACCTTTTGATAGAGTATGATTTGATGTAGTCGGGCCTGCAATGGGTCGAGTGCTGGCGGTAGACCATCGACTGGGTCTGCTCTCTGTGTGGCCGGCGTGGCGGCGGCGGGGGCGGGGGCTCCGCATACACAGCGTACTCGGGCTCCGCCTAGCGCTCCGCCACATACGCCGCACCAACAAACTTCTGAGCTGCCTCCTGACTCGCCTGATGTCTCGATCCCACCTGTAACCAAACGCAATTACGTTTTACATAATGTAACAAAATAGGAAGTCCTTCTCGTTAAGAATTTCAGACTAGGAAACATTTTCAAAATGATTTTATTACAAAAGTTTAGTTTACAAATAGAATTTAATGCTAAATATAATTACAAAAACGTAAAAAAAACGCGAGGCCACTGAATAAAACTGAAAATGGTTTCAATCATACGGTGGTACCAGGCTTACATAAAGTACAAAGAGGTTTTAACTTACTGGTATTACTAGCTCGTCTGGAGCAGTGGCAACAAGCAATGCGGCGCGGCGAAGTAGGACATAGAGTGAGTTGGCTGGCCACACGGGTGCGTGTGTGTGTGTGTGCGGTCCGCCGTGGCTGTGTGTGTGCCTCGCCCTCACTCTCTGAACTAATGCTGCTTGATGTCGCTCCTCCTGGAACAAGGAAAAAAAATCTTTAGCATCAAACTTTATCAACATAATATCACGCTTTTTATCCCCGTAGGAGTAGGCAGAGGTGCACATTATACCACTGTACAATGTAACACCCACTTTTCACTATTTATGTTATGAGTCCCATGTAATAGGGGGTGAGCCTATTGCCATATACCGGGCACCGGGCACAATTTCAGACGCCGTGCTACTACTAAGATTTTTTTAAATCCAGTAATACTTTGCCCGACCCGGGAATCGAACCCGAGACCCCTTGCCCGGCAGTCGCACTTGCGACTACTCAACGAGGCAGTCCGTCAAAGGCAGTCAAACTTTATCATGTGATACAATATTACTTAGAAGAATCACCACACCATCTCTCCCCGTGGGTCTCAACCCACATTAAACAGAAACCGGGCGGCAGCACTCATTAAATCTGATCTCCAACCAGCTTGCTCAGAATGGAGGTTATGGCAAACCTCTATTTAGTAGAGGACACCCATAAGTCCAGCAGTGTACTTCTTACGGACTGTTAAAGATTTTACTTTGCAAGAAATCAAGAGCTCAGTACTAGGCTTTTTTTTAAGGGGGGAAAATCATCAAATGACTGCTTCCACCTCGGTTAAGGCGGGAGGGAGTGTCAGACTCTTACTGACTAAAAACCACCCCGTTCCTTCTCCTGCACGTCGAGCCGGAACCCCGGTAACCCGTTAGGTTCTCCGCGACTCAGTACTAGGCTAGCAGAACTCGAAAGAGCTTAATGAAAGAAGAAAAATCTCACCATTTAGATCAACTTCGAGAAACTTCGTCCCAACATCGTCGATTCCGTTCACTGTTCCGTTAGTTACGCCATTTTCTCTCGTATGGCCATCCGTGACCACGTTGTGGTTGGTTCTATCCTCAGTAGTGTGATTGTCCAGCGGTGAAGAGTCGTGGGAAGTGTTCCTAGAAGCCGGTGGTTCTGCTCGACCCTCGTTGATCTCGAAGCCGGTGGAAGATTGGTTGCTGGACTCCGATACGGACCGCCAGGTTATGCTTATGTTTCTCGTGCGAGCTGATTCCCTTGCAGCCTATAAACACAAATATTGTAGAGAAATTAGATTACGTTACGTGCGATTAAGTAGTATTTATCACACCACCACTCTTCCCCTGGGTGTCCTACACCCGAAAAAGGGACTATACATTTGACAGAGGTTGGGTAGCAGCGCTCTCTCATTGACTGCGAACATCACTTTCTTAATAAAATTCTACCTCATCATCATCATCAACAGCTTATAAATGCCCACTGCTGAGCAAAGCCTCTTCTCACACGGAGAACCCTCATGCATGAGAAGCAGGCGTCTTAAACCGTCTTAAAAATTCTACCTATTTTTAACTTATAGTACCAGGTTACCATATCAACAAGAAGCATTTACCTCAGCCATGCCGATGACATCAGAGTAAGTGTCAACAACGAACACGGGCGGTTCCTCAGGCGTGTCGATGTCAGGTGAAGCGACACTAGCCGCGGCGTCAGAAACACTACCAGCTGTACCATTAACTTGACTATTGTCTGATGTGGTCAAATCTTCTGTATGGTCTATGACCTGGTCTGGTATTATCTTGTCAGTAAGCTGTGCTGCACCGTCCAGTTCTCGTTCTAAAGAAGACGAGCCGCTCGCGATGTCGCGTGGAAGACTTGTGCTGTTTTCGAAATGGTCCGGGTCAAGACCGTCCACCTGGAATGAGAAGACAAAACAATTGGTTATTATGCAATAGAAACTTTACTACATTCAATGTTTAGAAGAATGAAATCTTGAATGCATTAAACAATTCAATATCGACTTAATATATATGACAGGTGAAACAAATCGATTAAAAATTGTAATAAAAAAATACTCATAAGCATTCTCTAATTGACGGAATGAAAACAGCCGAACCAATCCTATCGATAGCGATTGAATTGAATACTGAGCATGTAATTTTTTCCAATAATACATTTTGTAGTTATAATTTTAACCAACTTTTGTTTACTTCATATATGTATAAAAATATTGAGGAAGCCCTTGGATGCAGATCGCGTCCAACCAGTCCGTCTGGAAGTTATTGAAAGAGGCTTATGTTTTGCAGTGGAAGTCTAGGATTTTCTTCTTCATGGGTGAGTTTACAAACATACAATTGCACATACACAATATGCTCAGACGTGGAAGAACATTGTGAATCATTCAGAGTGTTTCTTGCGGGTATCGAACCGCTACCGCTACACGTTGCGTAACAGCAAGTTATTTGGCTGATATGACGATAATGATGATGCTAAAACTATTCTATATATTATACAACGTACGGTATCAGGTCCGTTCTCGTTGCTAACAGGTAGTACGGGCAGTTCGTCCACGCAGCTGTCAGTGAGCGCAGCGCGACACTCGCGCTTGTTCTCACACTCCCCGGCCACCACCATCGATAGTTTCCTGCAAGAACATACAAGTAACTTATATTATAACATTCGTGAGACATACTAAATTATTTATTATGGTTACTCACGTAATTATTTGACTGCGAATTGCGGAATGCTGCTCATGAATATGAGCTCAAATGTATACTTTGAATGAGATTAATCTCAGAGTCTGTTTCAGTGTTTCTTTACAGAGCAGTTATATAGGAAATGCCGGCCTCGTGGCCTCATCTACACTACTCCTACATATTATTTTGTTTTATTTTAAACACATGTTTAAATGATATTATTTTGTAGTCTATTTACAAAACTAAACGTAATTGTATAATTTTTGTCGCTATTAAGATTAATTGTTATGTTTTTCGGCTTACGCTTCGGCTTAACTAATATGATCATCTAGCGTGGCTTGAAACTAGTCGAGTTCCTCGTCAAATAACTACGTGAGTAAGCCGAAAAATATAATAATTAACATACAAGTAAATTAACCTCTTGTATGATGGTATATAAGGCACAATAGAAACATTGTGTCTCGCGTAGATCTGCGTTAATAAACGAAATTATTAATTTTTTTTGTGTAAAAGTTATGGTGAGACATACACTACACATACTAAATTAATTCAAATTAACGGCTTACTGGTGCAACGTGTGAATGAATTGAGAAAAACTGTTCTTGTTTCAAGTCCCATGATAGTAAATTTTGCACATTCACCCGAGTAAGCCGTTATTTCAATTCAGTTGTTCACTTGTTCAAATAATTATAATCTATGCATCTAACTCATTCTTAACATTTCACTTCAACCCTTTGAGTTTTTAAATACTAACAAAATATTTACAATATAATAAACAATATCATGATATGTTATCATAACATATCATTAATCATATTGTCATATTATCATATTGTTGAACTTCTTTGAAAACAATTTACTTTCTAATTCTTTAAACACATTTGTATAGTCACCCAAGTCCGTTCATATAAAGTTCAAAATAGGAGTATATAATAGATATTGTAAACTTACATAACATCAGGTGCTAAGCTGGGATCACTTGACCTTCTCTGAGTGGTTCGTTTCTCGGCCTCATTCAGTAAGTTGTCACATGATCTCGTCTTAGTCATCAAGCCTACAAACAAATAATTACTTTTATTAGAAGAATAACTTTTGACAAAATCATAGATTTCTACTGACTCAGAAAATCTATCAACAAAATATAACAGCTACGGCACTGAATTACGTATTTGTGAACATTTTTTACATTGATCTTTTTGCGCAAACTTAGCGCAATATTTGCGCATAAATAATTTTATAAAAATAAAGCGATAAAGACAAGGTATTAGAAATTACGAGCATAGATTAAAATGTTTGCGCAAAATTTAACCTTTCATTTAAAATAATGAATTAATCTTTCACGGTATTTGTAATTTTTGCTGTCTTAAACTTAAAAATGTTTGCTCAACTTTTGCACAAGTACAAATGAAATATACTTTTATGTTTTATGTATAGTTTATTAATTTTCCCTTACCGTTATGTGGTGGTGTAATAGGTAGTGGTTGCGGCGGTAGGTCGGGCCTGTGCTCAGTGCGCGGCTCGTCGCGCGGACTCTCGCAGAACATTCCGCTCCACACACACATCGTACGCACTGAATACTCCGGCCATATCGCTTGCTGGAGGGGAGAAAATATTACTTTGAAGTTTATTTATACTCTAACGATTTTAAGGGCTCCTGCACTTCATAGAAAATGACATTTGTCTATGAAACGTTAGATCAATTTTAAACTGCCTTGCAGACACTGAAGATAAAGATGACGATGAGAGATTATGGGTATCGAATATTATAAAATATGGTACAAAATTGTTCCCAGTCATTAAAATTGTAAATTAATTTGACTTGAATAATACTGGGTGGCTTTATACGAAATACAAAGTGCTACTCGATTCGGTATTCTTATTCGCTTCTCTTACCAGATCTTGTTGTGATATTTAAGTAAATTAAAAAACTATGTCAATACTCGCAAGATTCGAGTTAGAACTAACCATTTGGAGGTTGCAGATTTGAACATCTCTTTCAATAATTATTCAAAAGTATTTTAATACTTTTTACTATTTTCTTACCTACTGAAATAATAAAACAACAATTTATTACATACCTGATCAAGTTGATGTGGCGAGTAGAGATGGTTCCTATAAGCGGGCGCGCGCAGTAGATGCCAGACGTGTGGCGTGAGGTCCTGCGCGCGACACTCGATGCGCTCCAGTCCCGTGTTACACAGGAATGTCCCGAACATACATGAATGTACGTGGGTGCCTAGCTTTATCTGTGTACAATATAACGATATACATAAGATAATGTTTTAAGACAGAAGGGTCAGAGGTGGAATAAACTTAGAGAGCACTCTAGCACACCGCGGCGCCCTTCTATAACCTGACGCTCTAGTCAGTACAACAATACCTAATAAACTAATAAATAATAGTAAGATTCAATAAAGACTGGCTCGTTGGCCGAGTGGTCGCAAGTGCGACTGCTGGGCAAGGAGTCTCGGGATCGATTCCCGGGTCGGGCAAAGTATTACTGGGTTTTTAATAAATTCTCATTAGTAGCACGAAGACTGGAATTGTGGCCGGTATATGGCAATAGGCTCACCCCCTATTACATGGGACTCACAACATAAATAGTGAAAACTGGGTGTTACTTCTGTGTGCACCTCTGTCTACCCCTTTGGGGATAAAAAGGTGTGATGTTATGTTGTTCAATAAAGTTAGAAATGACCTTATTATACAGCTAACCACTTGAAGGTCACACAAAGATTTGATTCTTGCGGGAATTGAATCCACGACATAGCGCCTAGGAAACAACATTTCTCCTACCATCAAGTTCAAACTATCGTTGGCGAAAATATGTAGTTTATTTTTCTATATATAATCATGTTTATTTTATTTTTAAAGGAAGTTAGCCTACCTCGCACTTGATTATTCGATACACATAATTATACACTAAATACATTTATGTACGTCTAATATGGTAAACTTGTTATTGTATTTGAAATCAACTTATAAATATATTGAGTGTATTATAAATAGAAAATTACACTTTTAAAATAGTAACTGGAGTTTGTTTTTATTCATTTTTGGAGGAATAACTACAAACTTGACATTATAACTGTTCTTAAGCAGAATTTATAAAACACTAGCTTCTGCCCGCGAATTCATACGCGTAATCCCATTTTTTCCCGTCCCCGTTCGTGATTTTCGGTAAAAAGTAAAAAAAAAATGTTGGTTAAAAAGTATCCTATGTCGGTCTCCTGGCATTAAGCTACCTCCCTACCAATTTTCAGCCAAATCTATTCTGCCGTTCTTGAGTTATAAGTGGTGTAACTAACACGACTTTCTTTTATATATATAGATTGGCATGAATATAACATGACATAAATGTTACATTTCCTATAACTTATTCGCCATAACAAAAATGGAGATACAACCAGTTACTTTACTTTACTTTGCTATAAGAATTAGTATACCTAAATAGTTAATGCAACAAACAACTAAGAATTTCGGAGTGACCATAACTTTAAGTTGCCAACGATATTATAAAACCAGGTACCAAGAATTCATAACCATAAAAGAGTAACTTACCAAATAAGCTTCGTTGAATTCAAAGCTGCAAGGGAATTGCAGCATCATCTGATGTACGACGTCTAACCACTGCAGGAAGATGGGAGACCGTTCGTTGGGGTCTTCGGGGCCGAACTGATGACCACACCGATCCGCGAACTTGTGACCGAAGTCCAGCCATTCACGCTCGATCAGTATACGAAAGCCCTGATGAATGAATGAGTCAGTTATACTACGCGTTACGCGACAATTGCGCTCGGTTAATCTCCTGTATTGTTCTGCGATCCTGGTGGAAAAGTTGATTCGATAATTATTTTGGTTTCTAGTTTTATGATTTAATCTATCCAGTTAAATAAATAGCTAAACACCATTGGAACATCTTTTGATTTTAAAAATGTTCTATTGATGGACTGAAAAAAATTTGATAATGATATTTAGCTACTTTGACAGCAACAAAAGCGACGAAGATGTTAATACCAACTTCCACCATTTCATGTAGTCTTGGTACATTTCTACGAAGATCAGAACATTAAGGCGATGCTTGATGGAAAGCCAAGGTGAAGAACACCATGATGACGATGAACTATACGGTCGAAATTAACAATCCATCTTTCCAAACATCTGGCTTGACATACATTTTTGAAAGAAACTTCATACAAGAAATGCTTTGGATTGTGATCGGTTATTCTTTTCGGCCGTCAGTTGGGCAAAACGTACCTCTAAAGTTCTATAATATGGGTCCAGTATGAGTTGGGCGGCAGCCACGATCTGCGGCGTGCGGTCCCAACCATCGGAGCAATGTACTAGAACTGGCCTGCCTCCGGCCACAGCGCGAGCCACAACACTGGATGCGCGCACCACGCCTGACACGTATTGCAGCCAAAGTGTTCGCTCCAGGTTGCTGTGCCAGCTAGGACAACACAAAATATAAAGTAATTAATATAAATCATTACTGGGTAACACAAACAAAGCTGTATACAGTCGTTAAAATTTAATCCTTTCATGACTAAAACACATTATGCAATGATTGATTAGGTCAATTTTCAAAGTCAGATTTACGAAATATCAAAAATTCAATGGTGGATTGATATCATTGTTGGGACAACTACATATAAAAACCGCAACAGATTCTTTGGTGAACTACCCGACACGCCTCAATGAGCTAGCCAGAATTTATTTTTACATACAAAATTCCGTGCAAAAATAATTCGTGAATTTCTTCGGCGCGCAAATCACGTTTGACGGCGCAATGTTTCCGGAAGAGATATAGCGAGTAACAAAACAATGAGTCCGTTCGGGCAGTGTGCCAACTGACACAAAAACTCCGCTGTAATATTACCTAGGTTCTTGTAACGTAAACATTGCCTATTTAGTGCATTTGATAGAGGAAGTGTACTGTCTATTAACCTAGGTCGTAACTGCATTGGTCTCGCCTTAAACGCAGCGCCCACATCCTGCAATCGATTGATTACCTATTATCTAGTTATGTCGTGAATGCACGGTCAGGACCGTCCTTGACCGTACCTAACAAGCTAGCTAACTATGCAATAAATTGTGGTTATATTAGCTAAATAACTAACAATCAAATCGTCACACGCTGTCGGAGACAAATTGTTAAAATTACCTATGACATTTTTATTACAATTTTGTGATGAATTTTTGGTAACGATTTATGTAAATGTAAGAATTATCCCGACGAATACCGCAGCGCCAAAATGTACGAGATTATTTTTCATGATTTTTTCCTATTATGTTCATAGTTATTTCGGTACTCCTTTCTAAAGGATTATATACCCAAATAACGATTATAGATATTTAGAGATTATTTATTTTTTCATGACTTTTTCCTATATTTTCATAGTTATTAGCTATTCAAACCCCCTGAAGGTGGTCTAGTTAGACATGACATTATTCTCCAATTCTCATCCTACAATCTAAGACCTAGACCTTCAATGCAATCACTAACAAGATGAGTCTACATTTGAAGGACTGTAGGCGTAATTGATAAAGTGACGTGTCGGTCACCCAGCCACCCAACACCCATTCATTAGTAAATAATGTGGAGATAACTAAATAGGTGGGCGTAGTGCCTACAGCTCACATGAGTTACCAGGGCTGCAGATCGTGGCACTGGTTTATTGATTGACGATATAAAAAGTAAATGTATAAAGTCTTTTGTATAAATATTTTTGTGATTACTCTCTGCATTGGAAATAGATTTCAATAAGAACAAAAAATATTATTTATTTTATTTCCAGCCATGATCGTCCCACTGCAGGGCAAATGCTCCCCCTACCCTCCTTCCACTCTACTCTATGTGAAGCTTTTTGCGGTCAATCCTTGTCATGTCAAAAAATATTATCGTTTCTAGAATTCGTAAGCACAGAAATATAGTGCATAAAATATTTCATCCACATATTCATTATTTTATTTATCTATCAGCTTCCCTAATGCACTTTGCACACCTAAAAACACTTTTCCAAAGAAAGGCAAAGCGTATTAGGTAGTTGCAAGTTATTTCCATCATTCATTTTCCATTTTTATTTACCTAACAGCTCAGTACCAGGGTTGCATAACACAACAGAAAGTAGCAAATTACTTACTTGGCCTGATCACTCGGCTCAGCAGCCAAAGCCCTCATCTGTTGAAAGCTCCTCCTCACATGATGTATGTTGGGTAGACACATGAACTGTATGTCTGCGGCCGGGTAGTATTGTTGGCATTCACACCCGCCGCCTCGCGCGCGATTCGTAACCGCGGACGCGTAAGAACGCGCGTCCACTATTAGTAGTTTTAGTTGCTGTAACAATGAAATTGTGTGTTAAATCGTATTTTATGGGGTTCCACGAAACATATTTTGGTTTTTAAGTCGGAGGTCTTGGGCTTGGGTTAAATTCTGAATAGGGTAGATGCCTAATTTTTATTTTAATGTCCGTCTGGTAGATTATTTTAAATCACTAGACACGTATTTTTTTATTTTCTTACAGAAACGAATACTTTCGACATTATATTGATGTGAAATGCCAAGTGACGTCACTTCTATGTACGTTTTATACGTAGAAATGACGTTTTAGCCCTAACTCCTAAACTTTGATTCGTTTTATGTAAATATTGTTTTGTTATACGACAAATTAAAAAAATACGTGTCTAATATTTTTTCATTACCTAACTTACGGACTAATTATATTTTTAATTTTCATACCCTGTCATCATCCCAATTACGTAAGTATCATTGCCCAGTTGTCAAGCGGTAACCGGTGACCGCTTTCCACTTACTCCTTTATATACCTTATTTCCGATATTTAGAGGCTGCTTTTGTATGAACAAATGTGGTGGATTTTTCATAATCGGGGATTAAAAAGTTAATTATAGTTTTGTGGTAACAAAATGTGATCAATTGTCATCCCGGAAACAAAATCTATTACTTTCTTAATTATATATAACCTTCTATTGAAATAATCTTCATTTAAAGTTAATTAGAATCCTAGTTATTGTTTATAACGTCCATTAAGTATGTATATGTGAGTTCCTGCATCGTAACTTATTATGAAGTCATTCACAATAAGCACTAAGTAATAAATTATATTGAAGTGTACTTCCTTGCATTTGTTACTATAAGATTGTAAGAACTTAAATGTCAAGCTACCTTTGTGCAAGTTTATTAAAGAATATTAATAATAGCAAAGTAGTTAGAATATCGACTTTGGAAAGGAAACGATTAAAACCGAACAAAGACTATCAGGTAAAATTCCCGGAGCAGGTAAAGTGTTTTTTCCAAATTCGCTATAAAGATACGATGTTTGATCGAACCGGCATTAACCGGCAATAGGTCTAAACTTCATAGCCAGCCGTTTTTATAAATGGCAAAAAGTGAGTTCTTAACTTCGGCAACTAATAAGAGCGATTCTACGTAAAGGTATTATGATAAGACTATTATCATATTTTATGCATCATTATTCATAATAAACAATTAAACATTATATCCAATGCTGAACATGTTTTCCTCAATGACTTCATATCTAATTGTATGCATACCTTATTATTATTATTGGGAGGCTGCATGCCCCGGTCGGCGTTGCACGCGTTGACGAAGGCTGCTAGAAGCCGTTCATCCTCGCTGGACCGCCAGCCGAGCCAGCCGACTTCTGGTTGCGACGAGCGCGCGATTACGGCGCCATTGCCACGGTGCCGCCATACCACCGCCGGTATCCGACGCATTGCACGAAACCTATCAACAACAACAAAATATTGTATATCTCCTACGGATTATGAGGACTTGGTGTCGATCCTGATGATAGGGCTAAAGATGAAAAATTCCAATAAAAATGTAGACTCTTCATTCTGCAGCCGGTTCAACATTAGCTGTAAAGTAGCTAAGAATCACTGACTACCATTTACAAAAAGAAATCTGCATCGAAATCTGTTAACCTGTTCGTGATTTATGTTTCCACAGACAGACATAGACAATCTTAAAATTTTTCATCATTTTTTTAAGAGCGAAATTTATGTTGTGTTAGACTTGTTTCCATGACTATGTTTCATTCATTTCACAGTACGGTATCCAAGTACTCGTACTTACCGTGCTACCGAATCAAGGTCTTCATCACAGATGGACGCAGGCACTACAAGTAGAGGTGGGTATGAGAGACACAACTTGTACTCTGCATTAGCTGCCGTCACCCGCCACGCGCCCTTAGCAGTGAAGCCTAACCGCTCCACCTGTGGAAGAGGGCGATTCAACAGGTTAATTGCAGGGAAAGAATAAAAAAACAGGGAGGGGGAAAATGCTACACGTAGTATTCAAGAATGAGTTGTAAATCGACTAATGACGTCAGTTCACGTCAATTATTCTTTCTTCTTTAACCCGTACGTAACTTTCATTTGAACTTGAAAGTTCGCTACAAAGTTCAAAGTACCAGGTAGTCAGAAGAGTTGAGGAATTCACAGCATTCTAAATGCGAATAAAATAAATCGTTTTCTTTACTACGCTGGCTACGTTCGTTGACGTCAGTTATTTGTTAGCGTTAATTTTCCTCCAAACTCTAAAATACAAGATTTATGTTACTAAACAGAAGCATTGAAGAATTATTCCGGGCGTACTGAATGAACAATGAACCCGAATTTAAAACTACAAAAATATAAAGACCGACAAAACGGAACGTTTTCGCAATAAAATACTAGGCAACCAGATGTTACTGGGAACTTACCTCAGTACCGAACCAATGTCTTTGTGGAGACTGTGAGGCCCTCATTAGTGCTCTGTGCACCGACGTGGGCGGCTGTTCTTTAGCCCACGCCGCATATGCCGCGGCGAATGTCTCCTGAACAGATCCTATAGGGGCGAGCGCGGTTGTCAGCCGCCTCCACCATTCTATGCATTGATCCCCTGTGCTGAATGAGCATCTAAAACAAGAAGAATGTTTGTGTTAGAATATCATTGGAGTTTAGGTTAAGTATGCAAAACATTTGACTCATGTAGAAGTCATGAAAATAAAAACAACGATTGACCCCGAGACCCGAACCGAGTCGGGCTTTCCCGAAAACATTTGACTGTAACCGTAATTTGTATTTATAAGTGTACTACTTTACAAATAGCTAGCAACCAGATAATAAACGTTAGTTCAAACACTCTTTATCTTATTATTGAAGGAAATTTTACATGCCCGCTTTCTTTAGTCGCTAGGTGGTGATTATCAGTCGGTAGCCTCAATAATCTAAAATTGAATCAACATTGATTATGTTTATGTTATTTGATTTCGTTGCTCATTAAGTATGTTATTGTGAACTTTGGTCCTTTAAACATAGACATATGACTTCATGGAAAGACAAAGTGTGAATTTTAAACATAAAATATGGTGCTGAGCACGTTTTACGAGCCGTGTTTTACTGTGCCATATTTACCTACATGACTATCATGACTTTGTATGTAAACACTGGATAAGTACCTAAGTACAATTATAAAATACTTTAAGAACTACAATCTAATCAGTACTCGAAGAGCGTATTATAAAGTGAGTAACTACATACATGTAAATTAAATGAATCGTTTAGTTTTACCTAGTATTGTTGATTGACTTCATGTCATTAGTTCTACAAATAATATAGGGAAAACTGTATACGTCCTATAACTAAGTATAATAATTTAATTATGGTTTATTAACAAAGAGTCCTTTTTTAGATCTGTATTATCGACTACAACCATAAATGAAATGAAAATATAATTATTTATTAGTCACCAGTCTAAACTAGTGTCTACTAGGCTGTCATAACAAACAAGGATACTTACTTGAGTTGTCTTCCATTTTTGCAGAGCACAATCAAGTGCAACAAGTCTCGGATCTCCGGCAGGTCGATCAGACGTAGTGGTATGGACGCACCAGGGTCGTTCCTCCGACGAGGTTGGACATGCAGACGGTAGTTGGACATTGCGATAGTTCCGCCGTCCGTTGTTCGGCCCACCCACTGCCAACAATACCGATAAGATTAAAGCTTCATTCATGAATAACTAGCACTAATATTCTGGTAGAAGTACATAGTTTTGGCACAATTTTAACCTTTACATTAATGTGTAATATGTATATCACACGTGAACCACGTGCTATTTTGATAACATTCCCCCTAGTCATGCTCCACTTAATAGTAAGCACATGCAACGTACACTATTTTCGCAAAGCTGCAATTTCATATCACCGCCGTAAGTGCACGCTTTGGGCTGATAACGTGTAGTCAACGACCTACCAGGAATGCAGAACTAGAACGGAGCTAAACACTATCGGAACGTCATTGGGGTTCGTTCAACCCGATGCATTCGACCTGCTGACCTTTTAGGCCTCCAGCCGTATTAGTTACTTAATATGTGCGTGTTTTATCTGTATGTTACGCTTTTGCTAATTAATTATTAACGTGGACTTCGTACTGGGAAATACGGTTGTTGGCAGACCTGTTTGTAGTTTGTCAAGGCATCATTAAGACGTCATGTCTATTGAAGAGGTTCCGAGAGCCGTGTAATTATGTTGAGAAACAATACCGTTGAGCGTATGCTGCTGTTTGTGAACGTAACTATATTATTATGTATTATACAATTAAACTACGGTTATGTACTTGAGGTTTCATTTGAGTTTCCTAATTTATAGTTTCCGTAAACAAGTCATTTTAAGGAAAATTACATTATGTTACAATTACCTTATCTGAATTTATAAATTGTATTAGGTTCGAAGGTAAAATAGGTGGTCTATCCTGAATTCCTCCTTTATAAATAAGGTGTGACTTAAGGTTTGATTTCTCGTATTCATTATCGATAAAAGTCAAAAATAACTTAACATTACAAACACAGCTATTCTGGATAATTCATGTAGTCTTGGTATCTCACCTGTACAAACTCCCCACATATGGGTGTGAACCCAGCATCTAGGCCTGGTTCATCATAATGTGTTCGCAGTCGAGGGTACAGGTCAGCAGCTCGCACTCTGTGTGGTGGCGGCTCTGGTTGAGGAGGAGCACGGTACCGTTCTCGGTCACTCATCTCGCTTGTTGATGGCACTACCACCTGTGAACAAAGAAAAGTAACATTAATAAAGATACTACACATTATATATGCTGATAAACACGCCGTGTGGTGATGAAGGAGTAAAATACGGTTGTCACCACGTTAATTGTTCCTGCAGGTATAGCAAGCGTCCACAGAGAAAGGGCACCAACGCTCTCTGATTAACCTGATCCTTTGAACTGTGACAAACCCCTCTATTTAGAGGTCCATGGTCCAGCAGTGTCTTGCCACAGACAGTTAATATAATACCAAACATTCTCACGTGTACCAAACACGACCAAAAGCGATATTTATACTTTATAGGTTACACGTGCTGTTGTGCCAATTATGCATACGTCTTACTTTTGGATATTTCTGCACCAATTCTACAGACAACATTATCGTCTAATGTAAACATTCATTATAATCCTAAGAGCTCCATTGAACACTTCTGTCGGACATAAAATACAATAAAATAAGGCATTCCTTTGATTTTCGCTGCGGAGGCCGTAACTCAAGAGGTCCTTAGATTTCATCCATTTTCAAAACAAATTGCAGAATTATTTTTGTAAAAGATAGAATTTAGAATTTTGGAAGAAAGAAAATGTTTATTTACTCGCCATCCGCATAATACCTCGATAAGACTAGAGATATTTAGACACGCAGCATCCGATACAGCAACGAACATCATCCGACAATCTTCTTCTATATTACCGAATGATTGATCAATAAAATTGTAATTAACAATAATAACTGTACAATGTACACACAATGGGCCACAAGGTCGAATTAAAATTCAACACAAAATCAACAATTAATTATTATTTACTAACAAAGTGTTACCGATTGGAACGCGTTCGTTTAGTATTCAGTTATTGTCTAACTGTTCCTATATTTTGATAAGAAGTCCTTCCAATAAGATGGTCCTAACTGGAGCGAGGGAGATACGAAGACACTTTCTCTTTCTGTGTCCCTAGTACCTATTGATAAGATATCTATAGACCCTTGTACCCGTTTTGTTCAACTGCGTATAAAGAAGAATTTTATTATCCTTACTAATATTATTAATCAGAAAGTGAGTTTGTTTTGTTTGTTTGTTTGTTCCGCTGTCACGCCGTAACTACTAAACCGATTGCTTTGAATTTTTGCAGACGTAAAGTTAGAAGTCTGGATTAAATAATACTTTTTATCCCGTAAAAATGTGATATTCCCGAGGGAAAACAAAAGTATTGGTATAGATGGCGCTGTGTGTATTGGTATATGTCACTTAGGCTACTTTTTATGCTTTTGCGACGCGAGCGAAGCCGCGGGTAAAAGCTAGTAAAACTATAATTTCTTCAAGATATGACGGTAATGAAGAACGATTCTATAACGATATTTAACAATATTCCTAATACACGAGTGTGCCATTGAAAATTAGTCTTTGAAACAAGAAAAAACACTACGATCTTTTGTCTAGGGTCAAGTCTAATCATACCCGTTTATTGCTCAAGTAACATCACAAGTCACAACACAATGGCTTTACCCTTGAGCAGATTTTGCAACTTTAATACTTAACGGAGGAAAAATAAAGTTGAAAAACTATCATAAGTTGTTTACCTATGTTTTTCTTTTGTAGTAAATTGGGTACTTTCCTTAATCAAAAATAAACTATTTCGACTGTTCAATACAAATAAATATAAAAAATAATCACAGTTTCATTAATTGATTTTATGATCAACTTAATTTTTGAGCCATTTTTTGACGCTAAAAACGTGACGTCACAATCACAATACACAATCTCGCACAAAATTCATAGAAAACTGTCGTTTTTGACAATTCGAATAAAGTATTGAATTTGACTAGTTGGCAAGTACCCAATTACCAAAAACCACGTCTCTTTCGCTAACATTTTGTTTTTTTTTTAAATTGGAGTCTCTAGTTATGTAGAAAGAGGCATGCAGCACTGCAGTCAAGTTTTTGCCTAAATACATAAATAACGAGTATTACACAAAAGTATTATGTAAAAGGTACTACGTGAAGTTATGTTGCCTTGGTATCGTTTATCGATGTAATAACCACAACGTTTAGAAACCGTCTCGAATCATAAATAATGATCTCGCGTGCTTATGATTCACTGGTGGCGCTTAGAAGCCTATGAGCTCCTGGTGGAATGTTAGTTCACGACTTAAAGAATGTTAGTCCTGGTGGAATGTTAGTTCGCGTAGTAGACGGCACCTGTCTTGTCAGAAGTTATTTATTGACAAACTTCTTGGAAACTAATTAGTTAAGTTTTCATGTAGTACTTTACTCATTCATTTTATTCAGTAGACACTATACGAGTTTATTAGAAAAAGGACTTATTAGAAGAGGCTTCTTTCATTTTCTTTTCAATATTTTAATTAAACGAGACCATAGATTTTTTCTTTTTTCCTTATACATTGTGAACCTACCACCCTTTTACAGATTCTTTTTAAAAAATTCCATCCAAAGCTTGTCTGGAAGAAATTCTCGCGTGTGATAAGACCGCCCATTGTACCTACTTCAATTACTATAACTATGTAAACTATTTTTTATGTGTGTGCAAATAAAGTATAAAATGATAATTGATTCAAATTCAATAAATATTATAAAATTATATCTTCTTTATATATAATTAATTATATTATATAATTTATAAAACTTGTAATTTTAAAGGAAATACTGAAATATATAATACGTTTGTTTTGGTGATAAATGTTGCCTTCCTATTACATAACAAAGGTAGCAGCGATAACATACATTATGTAACATTATCAAATAAATAGGTATATAGCAATCACAAGCGTAACGTAAATAAACACCATACCATATCTAATAAGGTTTAAATTAGATTGGAGAGGCCAAACCACCTGAAAAAATATATTATATATTTTGTTTACCTTATAAATTAGAAAACCTTTTTGAAATGAACTCTACCGTTAAGTACCATGTCCCTTTTAAAGTTAAAATACCAAAGGACGCGTATACGTGCGTGTAGTACTAAAAATAAAGAAAAACCCACCTTTTCCCAGTCATTGCACATACAATAAGGCGATTCACACTCGACTCACGCGCATACGGCATGCTTGTCCCTCGCAGTACTACTGAACATGTTAGAAAGCGACCTTGCGTTACCTAACTTGCCACAGTCGCCACTCGTGCGCAGGCGCATACTTTACAGGATAACTCATATGAACGGTATTACAAGGTTTTACCGCTAATTAAGTTACAGCAATAATTTGGATATTTGTTTTTCTGGGTAAAGGTTAAAAGTTATATCAAATATGTATCTATAAAAGTACTATTTCATAATAAACAATGAAATATTTACCCTTCGGTTTTATTTTATTAGTATAGTGATATAATACAAAGTTGTTCATGAGGCCTATCTTTATTTATTACACCTTACATTGTTATATGATGGCCCTTGAAATTATCTTCATTACACTGTGCATAATACCTGCTATCAATTCCATCTCTTGATGTTTATTACGACCTAGTACATTGTACATATGTGCAAAGTATATATATTGGCGTGCAAGTCATTCCTCCCAGTTAGTGCAATACAAAAACACCTAGACAACAGTTAGAGACTATGTATTAACACACTCATAATTCTATTTTTAATAAAAAAAGCTTAATTTACATGACCTAACAACATGTAAATAATGGCCTTTTTACTAAGTGCAAATATTTACTGTTTAGTTTCTCTTATATATGCGTTTACTTTGGCAATGTTACCAGGAAAGCATAGCAAACAAGCAAGCAAGCAAGTTGCAAAAGAAGTTTTGCAAGAATGATGTTTCTTCTATGAATGTATGACTTGTAAATATGAAGTGCAGTAACAAGAACCCATAATGTTGAAATCCGTCCTAGACCTAAAAATACAAGTTAAGTACCTCATTTTTAATGTTTTAAACAGATTTAAGTATTCCAATCCTATGGGCCGTAGAATAACAAGTAAATACATAACATTTATTAAATAATAATTAATTGCATGTAACCATTCCGTACATAACCAAATAAACCAAATCGATAAAGAATAAATTTCAAAAAGGAAATAACGAAAGGTAATTAGTGGTTCATTGATAATGTACGCTTTGATACCACATTCGGTCGACAATTGACCTAATTTTGGTAACAACAACTATTTTTATATCAGAACTATTAATTGTTACGACTACTGAGTAACATAGTGTTAACTGAGATTGTACTCGCAACTATTTATTGACAAATAAAGTGTTAGAAAACTGTAATAAAATGACAATTTCTCACAGACACAAATAGCTTCTACTACGTTCGACCTAAGCTCTACTTTCCATCAGATGTAATTGGTGCAGCATTCCATAGTAATGATGTAATGCCCCGCGGCGGTTCACATGAGCTCAGCATACAACACACACATAATCTCGCTACATGGCTAGATGTGAGTCATCACAAATGATCATCTATTATAGCTGATACGGTGTCATTAGCTACTGCAGGTGAGGTGTATGTAGATGACTTGATACGTATGTTGAAGTTTATGATTTTTTCGTAATTGTAAAACGCAGTGACTAATGAACCGTTACCTAATAAGGTATCTTAGCACCAAAATATTAGGTGATCGTGGGAGTAACGCCTACAGCCTTTAGTTTAGCGCATTCACCCTCTGCAGTTCAATGAACACTAACTTTAGCGCAACAACGGAGACAGACAGAAAAAAGTAAAAAGCTTTTTGTTGACATTTATTGTACGTGGCAAATACGCCATTGCAGAACTGACTGATGTTATGTAAGCAAGAAAATAACGTACATTCCTGCGAGATGAGACAATCAGCCGAGTTATTGACCGTGTGGCAAAAAAATAGAACGAAACCAGAGCTGTTTTTTGTAACACAGACGTAACATTAGATTTTTTATTGATACCTTTTACGGCGTTGAATTAAACTTTTAGAATAAACAGTCGAAGTATTAAAATGAGAGTACAGATACTTTTATAGACCGTAGTGAAAATAAACAAAGCGCACTGTTCAAAACACA